CCATATTATTATTATTATTATTTCTTTGTTGGTCTCTTATGTTTTCTGTCCTGCAGGGCTTGGTCAATTCTGTATGCTTCTTAGTTATGTCTTCTTTCAATTCATCCATATTATTAATTCAATTCCATTAACATTCTTCATTCAATTCATTATTTCTTTTGTTGGTTTGTCCTTGGGGCTTGGTCACACTGTTTCTATGTTCTCTAGGAACATGTCTTCTTTCAATTCATCCATATTATTATTATTATTTATTTTTTGTTGGTCTCTTGGTCCACTGGAGTCACCTTGTAATTCCTATGCTTCTCTAGGAACATGTCTTCTTTCAATTCATCCATACATTATTATTATTATTCTTATTGTTTCTGTCCTGCAGAGCTTGGTCACGCTATGTCTATGGTGTCTTCTTTCAATTCATCCATTTATTATTATTATTTCTTTGTTGGTCTGTCCTATGCTTCTCTAGGAACAGTCTTCTTTCAATCCATGGCTTTGTTGGTCCTCTTGTGTTCACCTTTGCAGAGGCTTAGTCCGCTGTAATTCTGTCCTTCTCTATGTTCTTTCAATTCATCCATATTATTGGAAACCATGCTGTAATTCTATCTTCTCCTGGGAACATGTCATCCAATTCATCCATATTATTATTTTGTTGGTCTCTTGTGTTTCTGTCCTGCAGGGCTTGGTCCAAAATACTGTAAATCTATGCTTCTCTCTTTAATTCATCCAGGAACTTTGTTGGTCTCTGTTCTGTCCTGCACAGTCTCCTTTCAATTCATCCATATTATCCATATTATTATTTTTCTTTGTTGGTCTCTTGTGTTTTCTGTCCTGGGGTCTTGGTCCATGCTGTAATTCTATGCTTCTCTAAGGAACATGTCCTCTTTCAATTCATCCATATTATTATTATTATTATTTCTTTATTGGTTTTGTTTGGTCCTCTTGTTCTCCCTAGGGAACATGTCTTCTTTCAATTCATCCATATTGTCTTTGTTGGTCTCTTGTGTTTCTGTCCTGCAGAGGGCTTGGTCCACTTCGTAATTCTTTCAATTCATCCATATTATTATTATTATTATTTCTAGCTGTTAGTCTCTTGGATCACATTGTCCCACGCTGTAATTCTTTCTTCTCCTAGGAACATGTCTTCTCAATTCATCCATATTATTATTATTATTTTCTTTTTGTTGGTCTTTGTGTTTCTGTCACCTGCAGGCTTGTCCACGCTGTACCCTTATGCTTCTTCAGGGGAACATGTCTTCTTTCAATTCATCCATATTATTATTATTATTTCTTTTGTTGGTCTCTCTTGTGTTCTGTCCTGCAGGTTCAACCACTTGCTTGTAATTCTATGTTTCTGAAATACGTCTTTCAATTCTATCCGGGATATCAGGTATTTTCTTAATCTAATTGTTGATCAAGTCAAAGGAATCGACCGTGAAAGCTCGAGTGACAACAATCAGTCATTTAATAATGTATTCTGCACAGTTGCTAGTCAATACTATTTTCTTGTCTGTTCTTTTAGATGAAATACTTTCTGTCCCCACCCCGGCCACCGCTTGAGATGGTAGGTGGCTTTTGGTAGAGACAGTTTATCAGGTGTTTTTTTTTTTTGGAGTCTGTCTGTTTTGTTGGACCAGCCAAGGTCAAATCAGCCAGCAGTGATACAACTTTGTTGATCTGGTCTCAGTTGTCAATTCCTGTTTTTTGTTGGTCTCTCTCTACACTAGAATTCCTTGTATATAATTAACTCTAAGAATATTCTCAATTCAGATGTCCAAATTTGGTTTCTTTTTGTCTGTTTTTTTTTTTAATAAATAAAATATTTTTTTTTTTTTTTTTTTGCAATCAATACCAACACATCAATTCCTGTTCTTTGTTGAAACTCTCTATAATTCCTGTTTTTTGTTGGTCTCTTACAACATGTCAATTCCTAATTTTAAATAAATATAAATAAAATTCTGTTCTAAAACAAATAAATCCTCTGTTCCTGTTCTTTGTTGGTCTCTCTCTCTTCTCAGTTCGCTTCTTTTGTTGGTTCATTCTCTTTCAATTCCTGTTCTTTTGCATCTGGTCTCTTTATCACCTTCTTTTTGATTCAAAAAGATCAAATTAATGTTCTTTTGTTGGTAAAAAAAATAAATCTCATATAACTGTTCTTTGGTGGTCTCTCTCTCTCTTCTCATTTCCTGTTCTTTTGTTGGTCTCTCTCTTCTCAATTCCTCTTCTTTTGTTTTCTCTCTCTTCTCAATTCCTGTTCTTTTGTTGGTCTCTCTCTCTTCTCAATTCCTGTTCTTTTTTTCTCTCTTCTTCTCAATTCCTGTTCTTTTGTTGGTCTCTCTCTTCTCAATTCCTGTTCTTTTGTTTGTCTCTCTCTCAATTCCTGTTCTTTTGTTGGTCTCTCTCTCTTCTCAATTCCTGTTCTTTGTTGGTCTCTCTCTCTTCTCAATTCCTGTTCTTTGTTGGTCTCTCTCTCTCTTCTCAATTCCTGTTCTTTTGTTGGTCTCTCTCTCTTCTCAATTCCTGTTCTTTGTTGGTCTCTCTCTTCTCAATTCCTGTTCTTTTGGTTGGTCTCTCTCTTTCAATTCCTCAATTCCTGTTCTTTTGTTGGTCTCTCTCTCTCTCAATTCCTGTTCTTTTTTTGGTCTCTCTCTCTCCAATTCCTGTTCTTTTGTTCCTGTTCTTTTTTCTTTTGTTGGTCTCTCTCTTCTCAATTCCTGTTCTTTGTTGGTCTCTCTCTCTTCTCAATTCCTGTTCTTTTGTTGGTCTCTCTCTTCTCAATTCCTGTTCTTTTGTTGGTCTCTCTCTCTTCTCAATTCCTGTTCTTTTGTTGGTCTCTCTCTCTTCTCAATGTTCTTTTGTTCTCTCTCTTCTCAATTCCCTGTTCTTTGTTGGTCTCTCTCTCTTCTCAATTCCTGTTCTTTTGTTTCTCTCTCTCTCTCTTCTCAATTCCTGTTCTTTTGTTGGTCTCTCTCTCTCTTCTCAATTCCTGTTCTTTTGTTGGTCTCTCTCTCTCTCAATTCCTGTTCTTTTTGTTGGTCTCTCTCTCTCTCTCTCTTCTCAATCCCTGTTCTCTTCTTCTTCTCAATCCTCTCTCTTCTCTCTTCAAATTCCTGTTCTTTTGTTGGTCTCTCTCTCTTCTCAATTCCTGTTCTTTTGTTGGTCTCTCTCTCTTCTCTCTTCTCAATTCCTGTTCTTTTTCTTTGGTCTCTCTCTCTCTTCTCAATTCCTGTTCTTTTGTTGGTCTCTCTCTCTCTCAATTCCTTCCTTCTTTTGTTGGTCTCTCTCTCTTCTCAATTCCTGTTCTTTTGTTGGTCTCTCTCTCTCTCTCTTTCTCAATTCCTGTTCTTTTGTTGGTCTCTCTCTCTCTTCTCTTCTCAATTCCCTGTTCTTTTGTTGGTCTCTCTCTCTCTCTCAATTCCTGTTCTTTTTCTTGTTCTTTTTGTTGTCCTCTCTCTCTCTCTTCTCAATTCCTGTTCTTTTTGTTGGTCTCTCTCTCTCTCTCTTCTCAATTCCTGTTCTTTTGTTGGTCTCTCTCTCTCTTCTCAATTCCTGTTCTTTTGTTGGTCTCTCTCTCTTCTCTTCTTTCTTTTGTTGGTCCTGTTCTTTTGTTGGTCTCTCTCTCTCTCTTCTCTCTCTCTTCTTCTCAATTCCTGTTCTTTTGTTGGTCTCTCTCTCTCTTCTCAATTCCTGTTCTTTTGTTGGTCTCTCTCTCTCTCTCTCTTCTCAATTCCTGTTCTTTTGTTGGTCTCTCTCTCTCTCTCTCAATTCCTGTTCTTTTGTTGGTCTCTCTCTCTTCTCAATTCCTGTTCTTTTGTTGGTCTTCTCTCTCTCTCTTCCTCTCTCTCTCTCTCTCTTCTCAATTCCTGTTCTTTGTTGGTCTCTCTCTCTCTCTCTCTTCCCCTGAGATTCCTGTTCTTTTGTTGGTCTCTCTCACTCTCTCTCTCACTCTCTCTCTCTCTCTCTTCTCAATTCCTGTTCTTTTGTTGGTCTCTCTCTCTCTCTCTTCTCAATTCCTGTTCTTTTGTTGGTCTCTCTCTCTCTCTCTTCTCAATTCCTGTTCTTTTGTTGGTCTCTCTCTCTCTCTCTCTTCTCAATTCCTGTTCTTTTGTTGGTCTCTCTCTCTCTCTTCTCCAATTCCTGTTCTTTTTGTTGGTCTCTCTCTCTCTCTCTCTTCTCTCCAATTCCCTGTTCTTTTGTTGGTCTCTCTCTCTCTCTCTTCTCAATTCCTGTTCTTTTTTTTGTTGGTCTCTCTCTCTCTCTCTTCTCAATTCCTGTTCTTTTTGTTGGTCTCTTGTGTTCTGTCCTGCAGGGCTTGGTCCCCACGCTGTAATTCTATGCTTCTCTAGGAACATGTCTTCTTTCAATTCATCCATATTATTATTATTATTTCTTTGTTGGTCTCTTGTGTTTCTATCCTGCAGGGGCTTGGTCCACACTGTAATTCTATGCTTCTCTAGGGAACATGTCTTCTTTCAATTCATCCATATTATTATTATTATTATTTCTTTGTTGGTCTCTTGTGTTTTCTGTCCTGCAGGGCTTGGTCCCACATGTAATTCTATGCTTCTCCTAGGGAACATGTCTTCTTTCAATTCATCCATATTATTATTATTATTTCTTTGTTGGTCTCTTGTGTTTCTGTCCTGCAGGGGCTTAGTCCAGTTCTGTCTTCTCTAGGGAACATGTTTCTTTCAATTCATCCATATTATGTGTGTATTTCTTTGTTGGTCTCTTGTGTTTCTGTCACTGCAGGGCTTGGTCACGCTGTAATTCTATGCTTCTCTAAGACATGTCTTCTTTCAATTCATCCATATTATTATTATTATTTCTTTGTTGGTCTCTTGTGTTTCTGTCCTGCAGGGCTTAGTCCACGCTGTAATTCTATAGCTTCTCTAGGGGAACATGTCTTCTTTCAATTCATCCATATTATTATTATTATTTTTTTGTTGGTCTCTTGGTTCTGTCCTGCAGGCTTGGTCCACGTGTTTCTATGCTTCTCTAAGAACATGTCTTCTTTCAATTCATCCATATTATTATTATTATTTCTTTGTTGGTCTCTTGTGTTTTCTATCCTGCAGGGCTTGGTCCACGCTGTAATTCTATGCTTCTCTAGGGAACATGTCTTCTTTCAATTCATCCATATTATTGTGTATTTCTTTTTCTTTGTTGGTCTCTTGCAGGGCTGGTTGTAATTCTGTCCTGGGGCTTGGTCTCTTGTGTTTCTGTATGGGGAACATGTCTTCTTTCAATTCATCCATATTATTATTATTATTATTTCTTTGTTGGTCTCTTGTGTTCTGTCCTGCAGGGCTTGGTCCACGCTGTAATTCTATCTTCTCTAGGGAACATGTCTTCTTTCAATTCATCCATATTATTATTATTATTTCTTTGTTGGTCTCTTTTGTTTCTGTCCTGCAGGCTTGGTCCATGTCTTGCTGTAATTCTATGCTTCTCTAGGGAACATGTCTTCTTTCAATTCATCCATATTATTATTATTATTTCTTTTATTGGTCTCTTGTGTTTCTGTCCTGCAGGGCTTGGTCCGCTGTAATTCCTATGCTTCTCTAAGGAACATGTCTTCTTTCAATTCATCCATATTATTATTATTTTTCTTTGTTGGTCTCTTGTGTTCTGTCCTGCAGGGCTTGGTCACCTTCCAATTCTATGTTCTCTAGGAACATGTCTTCTTTTCAATTCATCCATATTATTATTATTATTATTTCTTTGTTGGTCTCTTGTGTTTCTGTCTTTGGTCCAATTCTATGCTTCTCTAGGGAACATTCTTCTTTCCATATTATCCATATTATTTCTTTGTTGGTCTCTTGTGTTTCTGTCCTGCAGGGCTTGGTCCACGCTGTAATTCTATGCTTCTCTAGGGAACATGTCTTCTTTCAATTCATCCATATTATTATTATTATTATTTCTTTGTTGGTCTCTTGTGTTCTGTCCTGCAGGGCTTGGTCCCTTTGTAATTCTATGCTTCTCTGGGAACATGTCTTCTTTCAATTCATCCATATTATTATTATTTTATTTGTTGGTCTCTTGTGTTCTGTCCTGCAGGTCTGGGTCCCACGCTGTAATTCTATGGCTTCTCTAGGGAACATGTCTTCTTTCAATTCATCCATATTATTATTATTATTATTTCTTTGTTGGTCTCTTGTGTTTCTGTCCTGCAGGGCTTGGTCCATGCTGTAATTCTATGCTTCTCTAGGGAACATGTCTTCTTTCAATTCATCCATATTATTTCTTTATTTCTCTTGTTTCTGATATAACCTTTTCTAGTTCTCTAGGAACATGGGCTTTGGGTCTCTTGTGTTCTGTCCTGCAGGGCTTGGTCCCGCTGTAATTCTATGCTTCTCTAGGGAACATGTCTTCTTTCAATTCATCCATATTATTATTATTATTTCTTTGTTGGTCTCTTGTGTTTCTGTCCTGCAGTCTTGGTCCCACATTGTAATTCTATGCTTCTCTAGGGAACATGTCTTCTTTCAATTCATCCATATTATTATTATTATTTCTTTATTTGGTCTCTCTCTCTCTCTCTCTTGCAGGGCTTGGTCCACGCTATGTGCCTATTTAATAGGGAACCTTTCTTCTCTCTTTTCATTATTTTATTCTCTCTCTCTCTCTCTCTCTTGTTCTATCCTGCAGGCTCGCATGCTCTATTTCTATGTTTAATAATATGTCCTTTCAATTCATCTCTTTTTCTTTATTATTATTTCTCTGTTGGTCTCTTGTCTCTTTCTGACATTCCTTGGTCCATGCCGTATTCTTGCAATTAGGGAACATGTCTTTCTTTCAATCTATCTCTTTCTTTGTATTATTATTTCTTTCTGTCTTTTAGGTTGACAGTCATGCAAATCTATTTCAGGGAACATCTTCTTCAATTCATCCATATTATTATTATTATTTATTTCTTGTGTGTGTTCTATTGCAGGGCTCCCTTTTCTTCTTTATTTCTTTTCTTTATTTGGTCTCTCTCTAATTTGCTTTAGGGGAACATGTCTTCTTTCTCTCTCTTCCATATTATTATTATTATTTCTTTGTTATTGCAATTCCTGCAGGGCTTGGTCCACGCCTGTAATTCTATGTCTCTTCTTCTTCATTTCCATATTATTATTATTATTATTTTTGTTGGTCTCTTATGTCTCTCTCTGGCTTGGTCCAGTCCTTGTCTTTTCATTCTGTCATATTATTATTATTATTATTGGTTTGTTGGTCTCTTTGTTTCTTTATTTGAGGGCTCTCTCTCTCTCTCTCTCTCTCTCTCTCTCTCTTGAACATGTCCTTCTTCTGTCTTCTTCCAATTATTATTATTATTATTTCTCTTTGTTGGTCTTTTGTGTCTCTCCTGTCTCTTGCACGCTGTAATTCTATGTCCTTAGGAACAACATGTCTTCTTCAATTCATCCATATTATTATTATTATTATTTCTTTGTTGGTCTCTTTTCTGTCCTGCATGGCTTGGTCTCTCTCTCTCTCTCTTTCAATTCTCTTGCTGACATTCCTTTGTTGGTCTCTTTGTGTTCTGTCCCAGGGCTTGGTCCATGCTGTCTTTCTTTGTACTATGAATAGTCTCTCTCTCTATCTCTTAGCCTTTGATATTATTATTTCTTTGTTGTCTTCTTGCAGGGCTTGTATCCATAATTCTATTTGGGAACAGCTTTCTTCCACATTATTATTTTCTTTATTTTGGTCTCTCTCTCTCCTCAGGGCCTTGCTGAATTCTATTGATACATTCTGTCTTCTTCCATATTAATTATTATTATTTCTTTGTTGGTCTCTTTTGTTCTGTCCTGCATGGGCTTAGTCCACGCTCTCTCTCTATGCTCTCTCTTGCCCGACAGTCCTTTCACTTTATCCATATTATTATTATTTCTTTGTTGGTCTCTTGTGTTTGTATCCTGCAAGGTTTGCTGACACTGTAGTTCTATGCTTCTTCTGAGGGGACATGTCCTTTCTTCTCTCTTTATCCATATTTTATTTTGAGGTCTCTTTGTTGGTCTCTTTGTGTCTCTCTCTGCAGGGCTGGGTCCACACTGTAGTTCTATGCTTCAAAAGCGACATGTCTCCTTTCTTTCTTTATCCATATTATTATTCTCTCTCTCTTGGTCTCTCTCTTGTTCAGTCCTGCAAGGTTCTTACAATTGTAATTAGTCCTTCTCTCTTTTAGTTCTCTCTGCTCTCTCTCTCTCTCTTGCTGAAGGGGACTGTCTTCTTCCAATTAATCCATATTATTAATCTTTTCTTTGTTGGTCTCTCTCTCTCTGTCCTGCATGGCTTCGTCCATCATGTAATTCTATGTTTCTCTAGGAACATGTCTTCTTTCTTCTCTCATTTCTATTATTATTATTATTATCTCTTGTTGTCTCTTGTGATCATGTTTGCATACATCTTCTTACAATTAATGATTAATCCTTTCTTCTGTATTTGTTGGTCCTCTCTCTCTCTAATTTGAACATGTCTCTCTTTCTGACATCATGTATCTGTTTTCTTATTTTTTGATTAGTCCTTTCTTGTTTTTCTTTTCAGGGCTTGGTCAGACAATAATTCTATGCTTCTCTGAGAATCGCTTTTTTTCTGTTGTTCCATATTATTATTATTTTTTTCTTTGTTGGTCTCTTTTGTTCTATCCTGTCTCCCTTGGTCCACGCTGTAATCTCATTTGTCTAGGGAACATGTCTTCTTTCAATTCATCCATATTATTATTATTATTTGTTGTTGGTCTCTTGTGTTCTATCCTGCAGGGCTTAACATCTTCTCTTTTAATTTACTTCTCTAAAGAACATGTCTTTCTTCAATTCCTCCATATCTCTCTCTCCTGCAGGGCTTGGTCCACATTCTGTCTTCTATGCTTCTCTTTTTAACATGTCTTCTTTCAATTCATCCATATTATGCTATGGACATTTCTCTTTGTTGGTCTCTTTGTTCATACCTGCAGGGCTGGTTTTGTAATTGATAGACCTAGGGAATGGTTCTTTCTTCATTTATTTTATTATTCTTTCTTTGTTGGTCTCTCTGACAGCAGGGCTTGGTCATAAATTCTATGAGGAATCTAAGGAACATGTCTTCTTTCAATTGTCCATATTTTATTATATTTTTCTTTGTTGTCTCTTGTGTTCTGTCCTGATACTTGCCACGGCGATCTATGCTTCTTTTAGGGAATATATATGACTTTTAATTCATCCATTTATTATTATTATTATTTATTTGGTCTCTTGTGTTCTCTCTCTCTGTCTTGGTCTCTGTAATTATAGAACCTGGGGAACATGTCTTCTTTCAATTCATCCATATTATTATTATTATTTTTTTTCCTCTCTTTGTGTTTCTCTCCATGCAGGGCTTGGTCCATGGTCTGTCCTTCTATGCTTCTCTATCTGGAACATGTCTTCTTTCAATTCATCACATTATTATTATTTTATTTCTTTGTTGGTCTCTTGTCTCCTGCAGGGGCTTGGTCACTGTAATTCTATCTTCCTAGAACATGTCTTCTCAATTCATCATATTATTATTATTATTATCCTTGGTCTCTTTGTGTTTCTCTTTTGGTCCACTTGTAATTTGTTTTAGGAACATGTCTTCTTTCAATTCTAACGACATGGTTATTATTATTTCTTTGTTGGTCTCTTTGTGTTCTGTCCCAGGGCTTGGTCCATGCTGTAATTCTAAGCTTCTACTATGAATAGTGTCCTCTTCAATTTCAACGTGTTAGCTATTATTATTATTATTATTTCTTTGTTGGTCTTTGGGGTTCACCTTGCAGGGCTTGTATCCATGCTGTAATTCTATGCTTTAGGGAACAGCGCTCTTTCAATTCATCCACATTATTATTATTATTTCTTTTGTTGGTCTCTTGTGTTCTATCCTGCAGGGCTTCAATTACGCTGTGGTAATTCTATGCTCTAGGAAATATGTCTTTCAATTCCATCCATATATTATTATTATTATTTTATTATTGGTATTATGTGTTCTGTCCTTTGGGCTTGGTCCACGCTGTGTTCTATGTTTCTCTAGAAATAGGGCTTCAATTGGTCCATATTATTATTATTATTATTTTTCTCTAGGGAATTGTCTCTTTGTGTTCTGTCCTGCATGGCTTATTATTATTATTTCTTTGTTGGTCTCTTTGTGTTCTGTCTCTTTACAGCTTGGTCCACGCTGTAATTCTTTTTCTTCATGTCTCTTTCAATTCATCCATATTATTATTATTATTATTATTTCTTTGTTGGTCTCTTGTGTTCTGTCCTTAGGTCTGTTGGTCCACTTGTGTTTCTCCTGCTTCTCTAGGAACATTCTTGCTTTTCTCTTCAACATATTATTATTATTATTATTTCTTTGTTGGTCTCTTGTGTCTTTATCCTGCATCTCTTGGTCCACGCTGTAATTCTATGCTTCTCTAGGAAATATGTCTTCTTTCAATTCATCCATATTATTATTATTATTTCTTTGTTGGTCTCTGTTCTGTCCTGCAGGGCTTGTCCACGTTAATTCTATGCTTCTCTAGGAACTGTCTTCTTTTCAATTCATCCATTTATTATTATTATTTTTTTTGGTCTCTTTATTTTGGTCCTGCTGGTCCTATGTTTGTAATTCTATGTTTTCTAGGAACATGTCTTCTTTCAATTCATCCAGATATTATTATTTTATTATTTCTTTATTGGTCTTTGTGTTCTATCCTGGGCTTGGTCCACGCTGTAATTTAAGTGCTTTAGGGAACATGTTTTTTCAATTCATCCATATTATTATTATTATTATTTTGTTGGTTATCTTTTTGTGTTCTGTCCTGCAGGGCTTGGTCCACGCTGTAAATCTCATGCCTTCTAGGGAACATGTCTTCTTTCAATTCCTCCATATTATTATTATTATTATTATTTTTGTTGGTCTCTTGTGTTCTGTCTGCATGGCTTAACCATCCACGCTAATTTATGCTGCTTTCTAGGAACATGTCTTTTTCTTCAATTCATCCATATTATTATTATTATTTCTTTTGTTGGTCTCGTGTCTATCCTGCATTTTATGTTTTATGAACATGTCCACGCTGTCCATATTATTATTATTATTTTTTGTTTAGGGTTTCAAATCTCTTGCAATATGTAATTCTATGCTTTCTTGTCTTCTTCATTCATATTATTATTATTATTATTTTTTGTTGGTCTCTTTGTGTTTTCTGTCCTGTAGCTGGGTCCACGCTGTAATTCTATGCTTCTAGGGAACATGTCTTCTTTTCAATTCATCCATATTATTATTATTATTATTTTTGTTCTCTTGTGTTCTATCCTGCAGGGCTTAGTCCACGCTGTAATTTATGCTTCTCTAGGGAACATGTCTTCTTCTTCAATGCATCCATATTATTATTATTATTATTTCTTTTGTTGGTCTCCTGTGTTCTATCCTGCAGGGCTTGGTCCACGTTGTAATTCTATGTTTCTAGGGAACATGTCTTCTTTTAATTCATCCATATTATTATTATTTCTTTTGTTGGTCTTTTGTTGGTCCTGCAGGGCTTGTGTTTCTATCCTTCTCTAGGGAACATGGTCCACGCTTGGTTTAAGTTCTTTGTTGGTCTCTTTTGTGTTCTCCTGTAGCTGTAATTTGAGCCTTTAGGGAACATGTCTTCTTTCAATTCATCCATTATTACATATTATTATTTCTTTGTTGGTCTCTTGTGTTCTGTCCTGCAGGGCTTGGTCCATGCTGTAATCTCTATGCTTCTAGGAACATGTCTTCTTTCAATTCATCCATATTATTATTATTATTATTTCTTTGTTGGTCTCTTTGTGTTCTGTCTCAGGGCTTGGTCCATGCTGTAATTCTATGTCTTCTTCAATTCATCCATATTATTATTATTATTTCTTTTGTTGGTCTTTGTGTTCTATCCTGCAGGGCTTGGTCCATTCATCCATATTTCAATTATTATTATTATTTTATTTGTTGGTCTCTTGTGTTTATGTCCTGCAGGTCTGGGTCCACGCTAATTTATGCTTCTAGGGAACATGTCTTCTTTCAATTCATCCATATTATTATTATTATTTTTCTTTTGTTGGTCTCTTGTGTTCTGTCCTGCAGGGCTTGGTCCATGCTGTAATTCTATGTTTCTAGAAACATGTTTTCTTTCAATTCATCCATATTATTATTATTATTATTATTTCTTTGTTGGTCTCTTTATGTTCTTGTCCATGTCAAATTTTATGCTTGAACATGTCCAATCGTTGTATTATTATTATTATTATTTCTTTGTTGGTCTTCGTTGTGTTCTGTCCTGGAACTATGTTTCTTTCTAATTCATCCATATTATTATTATTATTATTTCTTTTGTTGGTCTCTTGTGTCTTATCCTGCAGGGCTTGGTCCACGCTGTAATTTATGTTTCTAAGGAACATATCTTCTTTCAATTCATCCATATTATTATTATATTATTTCTTTGTTGGTCTCTTTGTGTTGTCCTGCAGGGTTTGGTCCATCGCTGTAATTTATGTCTTCCTAAGGAACATGTCTCTTCTTTTTAATTCATCCATATTATTATTATTATTTTTCTTTGTTGGTCTCTTGTGTTCTGGTCCTGCAGGGCTTGTCCACGCTGTAATTCTATGCTTTCTCTAGGGAACATGTTTTCTTTCAATTCATCCATATATTATTATTATTATTATTTCTTTGTTGGTCTTTGTGTTCTGTCCTGCAGGTCATCCACTTGGTCCACGCTATGCTTTATGTTTCACTAAGGAACATGTCTTTTCAATTCATCCATATTATTATTATTATTTTTCTTTTGTTGGTCTGTCCTTGGGCTTGGTCCATGCTTATCCTATGCAGGGGTTTGGTCATCCAGGCTATTATGTATTCCTATGCTTTGTTGGTCTCTTTGGAACATGTCTTTTGGTCAATTCATCCATATTATTATTATTATTATTCCATTTTGTTGGTCTCTTTGTGTTCTGTCTCTGCAGGGCTTTGGTCCACGCTGTAATTCTATATGCTTCTTGAACAACATGTCTTTCAATTCATCCATATTATTATTATTATATTTCTTTGTTGGTCTCTTTGTGTTCTTGTTCTGCAGGGCTTGGTCCACGCTTGTAATTCTATGTTCTAGGGAACATGTCTTCTTTCAATTCATCCATATTATTATTATTATTATTTCTTTTGTTGGTCTCTTTGTGTTCTGTCCTGCAGGGCTTGGTCCACGCTGTAATTCTATGCTTCTAAGGAAACATGTCTTCTTTCAATTCATCCATATTATTATTATTATTTCTTTGTTGGTCTCTTTGTGTTTTATCCTGCAGGGCTTGGTCCATGCTGTAATTCTATGTTTCTAGGGAACATGTCTTCTTCAATTCATCCATATTATTATTATTATTATTTCTTTGTTGTCTGCTTGTGTTCTGTCCCAGGGCTTGGTCCACGCTGTAATTCTATGTGTTCTAGGGAACATGTCTTTTCAATTCATCCATTATTATTATTATTTCTTTGTTGGTCTCTTGTGTTCTGTCTCTGCAGGGCTTGGTCCATGCTTGTAATTCCCATGCTTCTCTTAGGGAACATGTCTTCTTTCAATTCATCCATATTATTATTATTATTTTTGTTGGTCTCTTTGTGTTCTGTCCTGCAGGGCTTGGTCCACGCTGTAAATTATATGCTTCTCTAGGAACATGTCTTCTTCAATTCATCCATATTATTATTATTATTTTTCTTTGTTGGTCTCTTGTGTTCTGTCCTGCAGGGCTTGGTCCACGCTGTAATTCTATGCTGCTAGGGAACATGTCTTTTTCAATTCATCCATATTATTATTATTATTTCTTTGTTGGTCTCTTTGTGTTCTGTCCTTGCAGGTCTGGGTCCACGCTGTAATTCTATGCTTCTAGGGAACATGTCTTCTTCAATTCATCCATATTATTATTATTATTTTTTTGTTGGTCTCTTGTGTGTCTGTCCTGCAGGGCTTGGTCCACGCTTGTAATTCTATGCTTCTAGGGAACATGTTTTCTTTCAATTCATCCATATTATTATTATTATTATTTCTTTGTTGGTCTCTTATGTTCTGTCCTGCAGGGCTTGGTCCACGCTGTAATTATGCTATGTCTTCTTTCAATTCATCCATATTACATTGGAATATGTTCTGTCCTGCAGGGCTTCCAAATTCTATCCATAATTATTATTATTATTATTTCTTTGTTGGTCTCTTGTGTTCTGTCCTGCAGGGCTTGGTCCACGCTGTAATTCTATGCTTCTAAGGAACATGTCCTCTTCAATTCATCCATATTATTATTATTATTATTTCTTTGTTGGTCTCTTTGTGTTCTGTCCTGCAGGGCTTGGTCCACGCTGTAATTCTATGTTTCTAGGGAAATATGTCTTCTTTCAATTCATCCATATTATTATTATTATTATTTCTTTTTTTGGTCTCTTTTGTGTTCTGTCCTTGCAGGGCTTGGTCCACGCTGTAATTCTATGTTTTCTAGGGAACATGTCTTTCAATTCCATCCATCCATTATTATTATTATTTCTTTGTTATTGGTCTTTGTGTTCTATCTCCTGCAGGGCTTGGTCCACGCTGTAATTTATGTTCTAAGGGAACATGTCTTCTTTCAATTCATCCATATTATTATTATTATTATTTTTGTTGGTCTTTTGTGTTCCTGTAGGGCTCCTGCAGGGCTTGGTCCAATCGCTATTAATTATTATTATTTCTTTTAGTCTCTTGTTCTAGGGAACATGTCTTCATTTTCAATTCATCCATATTATTATTATTATTTTTTGTTGGTCTTTGTGTTCTGTCCTGCAGGGCTTGGTCCACGCTGTAATTCTATGCTTCTCTAGGGAACATGTTTCTTTCAATTCATCCATATTATTATTATTATTATTTCTTTGTTGGTCTTTATTCTTCTGTAGGCCACGGCTTGGTCCACGTTTGCAATTCTATGTTTCTCTATGAACATGTCTTCTTTCTAACGCATCCATATTATTATTATTATTATTTCTTTTTGTTGGTTCTCCATGTGTTCTTATCCTGCAGGGCTTGGTCCACGCTGTAATTCTATGCTTCTCTAAGGAACATGTCTTTTTCAATTCATCCATATTATTATTATTATTATTTCTTTGTTGGTCTCTTGTGTTCTGTCCTGCAGGGCTTGGTCCACGCTGTAATTCTATGCTTCTCTAGGGAACATGTCTTCTTTCAATTCATCCATATTATTATTATTATTTCTTTGTTGGTCTCTTTGTGTTTATCCTGCAGGCTTGGTCCACGCTGTAATTCTGCAGGGCTGGGTCTTCTTTCAATTCATCCATATTATTATTATTATTACATTTGTTGGTCTTTGTGTTTCTGTCCTGCAGGGCTTGGTCCACGCCTGTAATTCTATGCACTAAGGAACATGTCTTCTTTCAATTCATCCATATTATTATTATTATTTGTTTCTTTGTTGGTCTCTTGTGTTCTGTCCTGCAGGGCTTGGTCCACGTAATAATTCTATGCTTCTCTAGGGAACATGTCTTCTTTCAATTCATCCATATTATTATTATTATTTTTCTTTTGTTGGTCTCTTTGTGTTCTGTCCTGTAGGGCTTGGTCCACGCTGTAATTCTATGTTCTAGGGAACATGTCTTCTTTCAATTCATCCATATTATTATTATTATTTCTTTGTTGGTCTCTTGTGTTCTGTCCTGCAGGTCTTGGTCCACGCTGTAATTCTTATGCTTCTCTAGGAACATGTCTTCTTTCAATTCATCCATTTATTATTATTATTTCTTTGTTGGTCTCTTGTGTTCTGTCCTGCAGGGCTTGGTCATATCGCAATTCTATGCTTCTAGGTGTCTTCTTCAATTCATCCATATTATTATTATTATTTCTTTGTTGGTCTCTTATGTTCTGTCCTGCAGGGGTCCACGCCTGTACTATGTTCTCTTGTCTTCTTTCAATTCATCCATATTATTATTATTATTATTTCTTTGTTGGTCTCCCTATGTTCTGTCCTGCAGGGCTTGGTCCACGCTGTAATTCTATGCTTCTCTAGGGAACATGTCTTCTTTCAATTCATCCATATTATTATTATTATTTTTTGTTGGTCTCTTTGTGTTCTGTCCTGCAGGGCTTGGTCCACGCTGTAATTCTATGCTTCTCTAGGAACATGTCTTCTTTTCAATTCATCCATATTATTATTATTATTTCTTTGTTGGTCTCTTTGTGTTTGTGTCCTGCAGGGCTTGGTCCACGCTGTAATTCTATGCTTCTCTAGGAACATGTCTTCTTTCAATTCATCCATATTATTATTATTATTATTTCTTTTGTTGGTCTCTTTGTGTTCTGTCCTGCAGGGCTTGGTCCACGCAATTCTATGCTTCTCTAGGGAACATGTCTTTTCAATTCATCCATTTATTATTATTATTATTTCTTTGTTGGTCTCTTTGTGTTCTGTCCTGCAGGGCTTGGTCCACGCTGTAATTCTATGCTTCTCTAGGGAACATGTCTTCTTTCAATTCATCCATATTATTATTATTATTATTTCTTTTGTTGGTCTCTTGTGTTTCTGTCCTGCAGGGCTTGGTCCACGCTGTAATTCTATGCTTCTAGGGAACATGTCTTCTTTCAATTCATCCATATTATTATTATTATTATTTCTTTGTTGGTCTCTTTGTGTTCTGTGTCCTGCAGGGCTTGGTCCACGCTGTAATTTATATGTTTCTCTAGGGAACATGTCTTCTTTCAATTCATCCATATTATTATTATTATTTCTTTTGTTGGTCTCTTTGTGTTCTGTCCTGCAGGGCTTGGTCCATGCTGTAATTCTATGCTTCTCCTAGGGAACATGTCTTCTTTCAATTCATCCATATTAAATTATATTTCTTTGTTGGTCTCCTTGTGTTCTGGTCCTGCAGGGCTTGGTCACGCTGTAATTCTATGCTTCTCTAGGGAACATGTCTTCAATTCATCCATATTATTATTATTATTTCTTTTGTTGGTCTCTTGTTGTTCTGTCCTGCAGGGCTTGGTCCACGCTGTAATTCTATGCTTCTCTAGGGAACATGTCTTCTTTCAATTCATCCATATTATTATTATTATTATTTTTTGTTGGTCTCTTTGTGTTCTGTCCTGCAGGGCTTGGTCCACGCTTGTAATTCTATGCTTCTCTAGGGAACATGTCTTCTTTCAATTCATCCATATTATTATTATTATTATTTCTTTTTGTTGGTCTCTTGTGTTCTGTCCTGCAGGGCTTGGTCCACGCTGTAATTCTATGCTTCTAGGGAACATGTATCTTTCAATTCATCCATTATTATTATTATTATTATTTTTGTTGGTCTTTGTTGGTCTTCTTTGTGTTCTTTGTTTCTATCCTGCAGGGGCTTGGTCACAATTCTATGCTGTAAGGAACATGTCTTCTTTCAATTCATCCATATTATTATTATTATTTCTTTGTTGGTCTCTTGTGTTTCTGTCTTTCCACGCTTAATTCTATCCATGTCTTCTTTCATTCATCCATATTATTATTATTTTTTTTGTTGGTCTTGTGTTTCTGTCCTGCAGGGGCTTGGTCCACGCTGTAATTCTATGCTTCTCTAGGAACATGTCTTCTTTCAATTCATCCATATTATTATTATTATTATTTTTTGTTGGTCTTTGTGTTCTGTCTCTGGGGCTTGGTCCACGCTGTAATTCTATGCTTCTAGGGAACATGTCTTCTTTTTCAATTCATCCATATTATTATTATTATTTTTTGTTGTCCTGCAGGGCTCCTGTGTTCTATCCTTCTCTGGGCTTGGTCCACGCTTTGTAATTTATGCTTCTCTAGGAACATGTCTTCTTTCAATTCATCCATATTATTATTATTATTTCTTTTGTTGGTCTCTTGTGTTCTGTCCTGCAGGGTTGGTCCACGCTGTAATTCTATGCTTCTTAGGAACATGTCTTCTTTCAATTCATCCTTCATCCATATTATTATTATTATTATTTTTGTTGGTCTCTTATGTTCTGTCATATTATTATTATTATTGGCTGCAGGGCTTGGTCCACACTGCAATTCTATGCTTCTCTAGGGAATATGTCTTCTTCAATTCATCCATATTATTATTATTATTATTTCTTTTGTTGGTCTCTTGTGTTCTGTCCTGCAGCTTGGTCCACGCTGTAATTCTATGCTTCTCTAGGGAACATGTCTTCTTTCAATTCATCCATATTATTATTATTTCTTTGTTGGTCTTTTGTGTTCTGTCCTGCAGGGCTTGGTCCACGCTGTAATTCTATGCTTTCTAGGAAACATGTCTTCTTTCAATTCATCCATATTATTATTATTATTATTTCTTTGTTGGTCTCTGTGTTTATGTCCTGCAGGGCTTGGTCCACGCTGTAATTCTATGCTTCTCTAGGGAAATATGTCTTCTTTCAATTCATCCATATTATTGTTATTATTTCTTTGTTGGTCTCTTGTGTTCTGTATCACTGCAGGGCTTGGTCCATGCTGTAGGAACATGTCTTCTTCATCTTCTCTAGGGCTTGTCCACGCTAATTCTATGTTTCTTGTCTTTTCAATTCATCCATATTATTATTATTATTTTTTTTGTTGGTCTCTTGTGTTCTGTCCTGCAGGGCTTGGTCCATGCTGTAATTCTATGCTTCTCTAGGGAACATGTTTCTTTCAATTCATCCATATTATTATTATTATTATTTCTTTGTTGGTCTCTTGTGTTCTGTCCTGCAGGGCTTGGTCCATGCTGTAATTCTATGCTTCTCTAGGAACATGTCTTCTTTCAATTCATCCATATTATTATTATTATTATTTCTTTTGTTGGTCTCTTTGTGTTCTATCCTGCAGGGCTTGGTCACGCTGTAATTTCTCTAGGAACATGTCTTCTTTCAATTCATCCATATTATTATTATTATTTTCTTTGTTGGTCTTTGTGTTCTTTCAGGGCTTGGTCCATTCATCTCTGGGGAACATGTCTTCTTTCAATTCATCCATATTATTATTATTATTTTTTTGTTGGTCTCTTGTGTTTCTGTCCTGCAGGGCTTGGTCCACGCTTAATTCTATGCTTCTCTAGGGAACATGTCTTCTTTCAATTCATCCATATTATTATTATTATTATTTCTTTGTTGGTCTCTTGTGTTCTGTCCTGTAGGGCTTGTCCACGCTGTAATTCCTATGCTCTCTAGGGAACATGTCTTCTTTCAATTCATCCATATTATTATTATTATTATTTCTTTGTTGGTCTCTTTATGTTCTTGTCCTGCAGGGCTTGGTCCACGCTGTAATTCTATGTTCTCTAAGGAACATGTGCTCTTTCAATTCATCCATATTATTATTATTATTATTTCTTTGTTGGTCTCTGCCCTGCAGGGCTTGGTCCACGTGTTTCTATGCTTCTCTGCATGTCTTCTTTCAATTCATCCATATTATTATTATTATTATTTCTTTGTTGGTCTCTTGTTTCTTGTCCCTTAGGTCCACGCTTGTAATTCTATGCTTCTCTAAGGAACATGTCTTCTTTCAATTCATCCATATTATTATTATTATTATTTCTTTGTTGGTCTCTTGTGTTCTGTCCTGCATGGCTTGGTCCACGCTGTAATTCTATGCTTCTCTAGGGAACATGTCTTCTTTCAATTCATCCATATTATTATTATTATTATTTCTTTGTTTGGTCTCTTGTGTTCTGTCCTGCAGGGCTTGGTCACGCTGTAATTCTTTGCTTCACTAAAGGAACATGTCTTCTTTCAATCATCCATATTATTATTATTATTTCTTTGTTGGTCTCTTGTGTTTCTGCCTGCAGGGCTTGGTCACGCTGTAATTCTATATTCTCTAGAACATGTCTTCTTTAATTCATCCATATTATTATTATTATTATTTCTTTTGTTGGTCTCTTTGTTCTGTCCTGCAGGCTTGGTCCACATGTAATTCTATGCTTCTCTCAGGAACATGTCTTCTTTCAATTCATCCATATTATTATTATTATTTCTTTGTTGGTCTCTTTGTGTTCTGTCCTGCAGGGCTTGGTCCACGCTGTAATTCTATGCTTCTCTAGGGAACATGTATTCTTTCAATTCATCCATATTATTATTATTATTTCTTTGTTGGTCTCTTTGTGTTTGTCCCTGCAGGGCTTGGTCCACGCTGTAATTCTATGCTTCTCCTAGGAAACATGTTTTCTTTCAATTCATCCATATTATTATTATTATTTCTTTGTTGTTAGTCTCTTGTTTCTGGGCTCCAGCTGTAATTCATGCTTCCTCTAGCAGGGTCTCTTGTGTTTCTATCCAGGGCTTGGTCCACGCTGTAATTTTTTGTTTCTCTAGGAAACATGTCTTCTTTCCCCTATTCATCCATTCATTATTATTATTATTTCTTTTGTTGGTCTCTTTGTGTTCTGTCCTGCAGGGCTTGGTCCACGCTGTAATTCTATGCTTCTCTAGGGAACATGTCTCTCTTCAATTCATCCATATTATTATTATTATTATTTCTTTGTTGGTCTTCTTTGTGTTCTGTCCTGCAGGGTGTTGGTCCACTTGGTCAGTAATTCTATGCTTCTCTAGGGAACATGTTTTCTTTCAATTCATCCATATTATTATTATTATTATTTCTTTGTTGGTCTCTTGTGTTCTGTCCTGCAGGACTTGGTCCACGCTGTAATTCTATGCTTCTCTAGGGAACATGTCTTCTTTCAATTCATCCATATTATTATTATTATTATTTCTTTTGTTGGTCTCTTGTGTTTCTGTCCTGCAGGGCTTGGTCCACGCTTCTCTGTAATTCTATGCTTCTTGTGTTCTGTCCTGCAGGGAACATGTCCTCTTTCAATTCATCCATATTATTATTATTATTATTTCTTTGTTGGTCTCTTGTGTTCTGTCCCTGCAGGTCTTGGTCCCACGCTGTAATTCTATGCTTCTCTAGGAACATGTCTTCTTTCAATTCATCCATATTATTATTATTATATTTCTTTGTTGGTCTCTTGTGTTCTGTCCTGCAGGGCTTGGTCCACGCTTCTATGCTCTATACTTCTCTAGGGAACATGTCTTCTTTCAATTCATCCATATTATTATTATTATTTCTTTGTTGGTCTCTTGTGTTCTGTCCTGCAGGGCTTGGTCCACGCTTTGTAATTCTATGCTTCTCTAGGAACATGTCTTCTTTCAATTCATCCATATTATTATTATTATTATTTTTTTGTTGGTCTCCTTGTGTTCTATCCTGCAGGGCTTGGTCCACGCTGTTCCTATGCTTCTCCTATGTCTTCTTTCAATCCATATTATTATTATTATTATTTCTTTGTTGGTCTCTTGTGTTCTGTCCTGCAGGGCTTGGTCCACGCTGTAATTCTATGCTTCTCTAGGGAACATGTCTTCTTTCAATTCATCCATATTATTATTATTATTTTTTTTGTTGGTCTCTTTGTGTTCTGTCCTGCAGGGCTTGGTCCACGCTGTAATTCTATGCTTCTCTAGGAACATGTCTTCTTTCAATTCATCCATATTATTATTATTATTATTTCTTTGTTGGTCTCTTTGTGTTTCTGTCCTGCAGGGCTTGGTCCACGCTGTAATTCTATGCTTCTCTAGGGAATTGTCTTCAATTCATCCATATTATTATTATTATTATTTCTTTGTTGGTCTTTGTGTTTTGTCCTGCAGGGCTTGGTCCATTCATGCTTCTCTAGGGAAATATGTCTTCTTTCAATTCATCCATATTATTATTATTATTTCTTTGTTGGTCTCTTGTGTTCTGTCCTGGAACATGTCTTTCAATTCATCCATATTATTATTATTATTTTGTTGGGTCCTTAGTCCTGCATTCTATCCTTCCTGGTAATTCTATGAAACATGTCTTCTTTCAATTCATCCATATTATTATTATTATTATTTCTTTGTTGGTCTCTTGTGTTCTGTCCTGCAGGGCTTGGTCCACGCTGTAATTCTATGCTTCTCTAAGGAACATGTCTTTCTTTCTATTCATCCATATTATTATTATTATTATTTCTTTGTTGGTCTCTTGTGTTTCTGTCCTGCAGGGGCTTGGTCCACGCTGTAATTCTATGCTTCTCTAGGAACATGTCTTCTTTCAATTCATCCATATTATTATTATTATTTCTTTGTTGGTCTCTGTGTTCTGTCCTGTATGGCTTGGTCCACGCTGTAATTCTATGCTTCTCCTAGGGAACATGTCTTCTTTCAATTCATCCATATTATTATTATTATTTTGTTGGTTGTGTTTCTGTCCTGCAGGGGCTTGGTCCACGCTTAATTCTATGTTCTCTGGAACATGTCTTCTTCAATTCATCCATATTATTATTATTATTTCTTTGTTGGTCTCTTGGTTCCCTGCAGGGCTTGGTCCACACTGTAATTCTATGCTTCTCTGGGAACATGTCTTCTTTCAATTCATCCATGTTATTATTATTACGTTTTTGTTGGTCTCTTGTGTGTTCTGTCCTGCAGGGCTTGGTCCACGCTGTAATTCTATGCAGGGAACATGTCTTTCAATTCATCCATATTATATTATTATTTTTCTTTGTTGGTCTCTTTGTGTTCTGTCCTGCAGGGCTTGGTCCCATGTGGATTTCTATGTTTCTCTAGGGAACATGTTTTCTTTCAATTCATCCATATTATTATTATTTCTTGTTGGTCTTTGTTGGTCTCTTATGTTCTGTCCTGGAACATAGCTTGGTCCCACCTATTCTATGCTTCTCTAGGAACATGTCTTCTTTCCACATATGTTTAATTATCCCATTATTATTATTTCTTTGTTGGTCTCTTTGTGTTCTGTCCTGCAGGGCTTGGTCCACGCTGTAATTCTATGCTTCTCTAGAACATGTCTTCTTTCAATTCATCCATATTATTATTATTATTATTTCTTTTGTGTTGGTCTCTTGTGTTCTGTCCATCCATTATTATTATTATTATTTCTTTGTTGGTCTTGTTCTGTCCTGCAGGACTGTAATTCTACTTTCTCTAGGAACATGTCTTCTTTCAATTCATCCATATTATTATTATTATTATTTTGTTTTTTTGGTCTCTTGTTGGTCCACGTTCTCCTGCTTCTCTGGAACATGTCCATCCATCCATATTATAATTCTATGCTTCTCTAGGGAACTATGTCTTCTTTCAATTCATCCATATTATTATTATTATTATTTCTTTGTTGGTCTCTTGTGTTCTGTCCTGCTTGGTCCACGCTGTAATTCTATGCTTCTCTAGGGAACATGTCTTCTTTCAATTCATCCATATTATTATTATTATTTCTTTGTTGGTCTCTTTGTGTTCTATCCTGCAGGGCTTGGTCACGCTGTAATCTCATGTTCTTAGGAACATGTCTTTTCAATTCATCCATATTATTATTATTATTTTTCTTTGTTGGTCTCTTGTGTTCTGTCCTGCAGGGCTTGGTCCACGCTGTAATTATATGCTTCTCTAGGAACATGTCTTCTTTCAATTCATCCATATTATTATTATTATTTCTTTGTTGGTCTCTTGTGTTCTGTCCTGCAGGGGCTTGGTCCCAATTCGGTGTAATTCTATGCTTCTCTAGGGAACATGTCTTCTTTCAATTCATCCATATTATTATTATTATTTCTTTGTTGGTCTCTTTGTGTTCTGTCCTGCAGGGCTTGGTCCACGCTGTAATTCTGTTTTCTAGGGAACATGTCTTCTTTCAATTCATCCATATTATTATTATTTTTCTTTGTTGGTCTCTTTGTGTTCTGTCCTGCAGGGCTTGGTCCACGCTGTAATTCTATGCTTCTCTAGGGAACATGTCTTCTTTTCAATTCATCCATATTATTATTATTATTTTTCTTTGTTGGTCTCTTGTGTTCTGTCCTGCAGGGCTTGGTCCACGCTTAATTTAGGCCTCTATGAACATGTCTTCTTTCCAATTCATCCATATTATTATTATTATTATTTTGTTGGTCTCTTGTGTTCTGTCCTGCAGGCTTTCCACGCTGTAATTCATCCATCCATTATTATTATTATTATTTCTTTGTTGGTCTCTTGTGTTTCTGTCCTGCAGGGCTTGGTCCACATTGTAATTCTATGCTTCTCTAGGGAACATGTCTTCTTTCAATTCATCCATATTATTATTATTATTATTTTTTTGTTGGTCTCTTTGTGTTCTGTCCTGTAGGGCTGAGTCCACGCTGTAATTCTATGCTTCTCTAGGGAACATGTCTTCTTTCAATTCATCCATATTATTATTATTATTATTTCTTTGTTGGTCTCTTGTTGTTTTCTGTCCTGCAGGGCTTGGTCCACGCTGTAATTCTATGCTTTGTCTCTAGGGAACATGTCTTCTTTCAATTCATCCATATTATTATTATTATTATTTCTTTTGTTGGTCTCTTGTGTTCTGTCCTGCAGGGCTTGGTCCACGCTGTAATTCTATGCTTCTCTAGGAACATGTCTTCTCTTCAATTCATCCATATTATTATTATTATTTTTTTTGTTGGTCTCTTGTGTTCTGTCCTGCAGGGCTGGGTCCACGCTGTAATTCTATTCTTCTCAGCTTCTCTAGGGAACATGTCTTCTTTCAATTCATCCATATTATTATTATTATTTCTTTTGTTGGTCTCTTGTGTTCTGTCCTGCAGGGCTTGGTCCACGCTGTCTTCTTTAATTCTATGCTTCTCTAGGGAACATGTTTTCTTTCAATTCATCCATATTATTATTATTATTATTTCTTTGTTGGTCTCTTGTGTTCTGTCCTGCAGGGCTTGGTCCACGCTTCTCTAGGGAACATGTAATTCTATGTTCTCCTAGGGAACATGTCTTCTTTCAATTCATCCATATTATTATTATTATTATTTTTTGTTGGTCTCTTGTGTGTTCTGTCCTGCAGGGCTTGGTCCACGCTGTAATTCTATGTTCTCTAGGAACATGTCTTCTTTCAATTCATCCATATTATTATTATTATTTCTTTGTTGGTCTCTTATGTTCTGTCCTGCAGGGCTGGAGTCCACGCTGTAATTCTATGCTTCTCTAGGGAACATGTCTTCTTCAATTCATCCATATTATTATTATTATTATTTTTGTTGGTTTCTGTGTGTTCTGTCCTGCAGGGTTGGTCCATGTAATTCTATGCTTCTCTAGGGAACATGTCTTCTTTCAATTCATCCATTTATTATTATTATTTTTCTTGTTGGTCTCTTGTGTTCTGTCCTGCAGGGGCTTGGTCCACGCTGTAATTCTATGCTTCTCTAGGGAACATGTCTTCTTTCAATTCATCCATATTATTATTATTTTTTGTTGGTCTCTTGTGTTCTGTCCTGCAGGGCTTGGTCCACGCTTGTAATTCTATGCTTCTCTAGGAACATGTCTTCTTTCAATTCATCCATATTATTATTATTATTATTTGTTGGTCTCTTTGTGTTCTGTCCTGCAGGGCTGAGTCCACACTGTAATTCTATGCTTCTCTAGGGAACATGTCTTCTTTCAATTCATCCATATTATTATTATTATTTTTTTGTTGGTCTCTTTGTGTTCTGTCCTGCAGGGCTGGGTCCACGCTGTAATTCTATGTTCTCTAGGAACATGTCTTCTTTCAATTCATCCATATTATTATTATTATTATTTCTTTTGTTGGTCTCTTGTGTTCTTCCTGTGGGCTTTCTGTCCTATGCTAGGAACATGTCTTCTTTCAATTCATCCATGTATTATTATTATTATTTCTTTGTTGGTCTCTTTGTGTTCTGTCCTGCAGGGATTGGTCCACAATTCTATCCTAGGGAACACATGTCTTCTTTCAATTCATCCATATTATTATTATTATTATTTCTTTTGTTGGTTTTGTTGGTCTCTTGTGTTCTGTCTCTTGTGTTCTCTAGGAACATCCTTTCAGGGTCTCTTGGTCCAGGGCTTGGTCCACGCTGTAATTCTATGCTTCTCTAGGGAAACATGTCTTCTTTCAATTCATCCATATTATTATTATTATTATTTCTTTGTTGGTCTCTTTGTGTTCTGTCCTGCAGGGCTTGGTCCACATTGTAAATCTATGCTTCTCTAGGAACATGTCTTCTTTCAATTCATCCATATTATTATTATTATTTTTGTTGGTCTCTTGTGTTCTGTCCTGCAGGGCTTGGTCCACGCTGTAATTCTATGCTTCTCTAGGGAACATGTCTTCTTTCAATTCATCCATATTATTATTATTATTTCTTTTGTTGGTCTCTTGTGTTCTGTCCTGCAGGGCTTGGTCCACGCTGTAATTCTATGCTTCTCTAGGGAACATGTCTTCTTTCAATTCATCCATATTATTATTATTATTTTTTTGTTGGTCTCTTTTGTTCTGTCCTGCAGGGCTTGGTCCATGCTGTAATTCTATGCTTCTCTAGGGAACATGTCTTCTTTCAATTCATCCATATTATTATTATTATTTTTCTTTTGTTGGTCTCTTGTGTTTCTGTCCTGCAGGGCTTGGTCCACGCTGTAATTTATTCTTCTCTAGGAACATGTCTTCTTTCAATTCATCCATATTATTATTATTATTTTTTGTTGGTCTCTTGTGTTCTGTCCTGCAGGGCTTGGTCCACGCTGTAATTCTATGCTTCTCTAGGGAACATGTCTTCTTTCAATTCATCCATATTATTATTATTATTGTTTCTTTGTTGGTCTTTGTGTTCTGTCCTGCAGGGCTTGGTCCACGCTTGTAATTCTATGCTTCTCTAGGGGGAACATGTCTTCTTTCAATTCATCCATATTATTATTATTTTTTTTTGTCTCTTTGTGTTTCTGTCCTGCAGGGCTGGTCCACATTGTAATTCTATGCTTCTCTAGGGAACATGTCTTCTTTCAATTCATCCATATTATTATTATTATTATTTTTGTTGGTCTCTTGTGTTCTGTCCTGCAGGGCTGGTCCACTTGTAATTCTATGCTTCTCTAGGGAATGTCTTCTTTCAATTCATCCATATTATTATTATTTCTTTTGTTGGTCTCTTGTGTTCAGGGCTTGAGTCCCACGCTGTAATTCTATGCTTCTCTAGGAACATGTCTTCTTTCAATTCATCCATATTATTATTATTATTATTTCTTTGTTGGTCTCTTTGTGTTCTGTCCTGCAGGGTTGGGTCCACGCTGTAATTCTATGCTTCTCTAGGAACATGTCTTCTTTCAATTCATCCATATTATTATTATTATTATTTTTGTTGGTCTCTTGTGTTTCTGTCCTGCAGGGCTTGGTCCACGCTGTAATTCTATGCTTCTCTAGGGAACATGTCTTCTCAATTCATCCATATTATTATTATTATTATTTTTGTTGGTCTCTTGTGTTCTGTCCGCACTGGGTCCACTGTAATTTATATTCTTAGGAACATGTCTTCTTTCAATTCATCCATATTATTATTATTATTTCTTTGTTGGTCTCTTGTGTTCTGTCCTGCAGGGCTTGGTCCACGCTGTAATTCTATGCTTCATGTCTTCTTTCAGGGAACCTGCAGGGCTGGTCCTTCTATGCTTCTAGGAACATGTCTTCTTTCAATTCATCCATATTATTATTATTATTATTTTTTGTTGGTCTCTTGTGTTCTGTCCTGCAGGGCTTGGTCCACACTGTAATTCTATGCTTCTCTAGAACATGTCTTCTTTCAATTCATCCATATTATTATTATTATTTTTTTTGTTGGTCTCTTGTGTTCTGTCCTGTGGGCTTGGTCCACTTGTAATTCTATGCTTCTAGGGAACATGTCTTCTTTCAATTCATCCATATTATTATTATTATTTCTTTGTTGGTCTCTTGTGTTCTGTCCTGCAGGGCTTGGTCCACGCTGTAAATCTATGCTTCTCTAGGGAACATGTCTTCTTTCAATTCATCCATATTATTATTATTATTATTTTTTGTTGGTCTCTTGTGTTTCTGTCCTGCAGGGCTTCCACGGTCCATGCATGTCTTTTCAATTCATCCATATTATTATTATTATTATTTCTTTGTTGGTCTCTTGTGTTCTGTCCTGCAGGATGGGTCCAAATTCTATGCTTCTCTTAGGGAACATGTCTTCTTTCAATTCATCCATATTATTATTATTATTTCTTTGTTGGTCTCTTGTGTTCTGTCCTGCAGGGCTTGGTCCACAATTCTATGCTGTAATTCTATATTATTATTATTTTTCTTTTGTTGGTCTTCTCTAGGGCTTAAAATCATGTCTTCTTTCAATTCATCCATATTATTATTATTATTATTTTTTTGTTGGTCTCTTGTGTTCTGTCCTGCAGGGCTTGGTCCACGTAATTCTGCTTCTCTAATTCTATGCTTTGTGTTCTGTCTAGGGAACATGTTTCTTAAGGAACATCTTCTTTCAATTCATCCATATTATTATTATTATTATTTTTTGTTGGTCTGTCCTGTGTTCTATCCTGCAGGGCTTGGTCCCTGCAGGGCTTGGTCAATTCTATGCTTCTCTAGGGAACATGTCTTCTTTCAATTCATCCATATTATTATTATTATTATTTCTTTGGTCTCTTGTGTTTCTGTCCTGCAGGGCTTGGTCCACGCTGTAATTCTATGCTTCTCTAGGGAACATGTCTTCTTTCAATTCATCCATATTATTATTATTATTATTTCTTTGTTGGTCTCTTTGTTTCTGTCCTGCAGGGCTTGGTCCATGCTGTAATTCTATGCTTCTCTAGGGAACATGTCTTCTTTCAATTCATCCATATTATTATTATTATTATTTGTTGGTCTTTGTTGTTCTGTCCTGCAGGGCTTGGTCCATTGTAATTCTATGTCTCTAGGAACATGTCTTCTTTCAATTCATCCATATTATTATTATTATTTCTTTGTTGGTCTTTGTTCTGTCCTGCAGGGCTGAGTCCACGCTGTAATTCTATGCTTCTCTAGGGAACATGTCTTCTTTCAATTCATCCATATTATTATTATTATTATTTCTTTGTTGGTCTCTTGTGTTCTGTCCTGCAGGGCTTGGTCCACGCTGTAATTCTATGCTTCTCTAGGAACATGTCTTCTTTCAATTCATCCATATTATTATTATTATTTCTTTGTTGGTCTCTTGTGTTTCTGTCCTGCAGGGCTTGGTCCACACGCTGTAATTCTATGCTTCTCTAGGAACATGTCTTCTTTCAATTCATCCATATTATTATTATTATTTCTTTTGTTGGTCTCTTGTGTTCTGTCCTGCAGGGCTTGGTCCATGCTGTAATTCTATGCTTCTCTAGGGAACATGTCTTCTTTCAATTCATCCATATTATTATTATTATTATTTCTTTGTTGGTCTCTTGTGTTCTGTCCTGCAGGGCTTGGTCCACGCTGTAATTCTATGCTTCTCTAGGGAACATGTCTTCTTTCAATTCATCCATATTATTATTATTATTATTTCTTTGTTGGTCTCTTGTGTTCTGTCCTGCAGGGCTTGGTCCACGCTGTAATTCTATGCTTCTCTAAGGAACATGTCTTCTTTCAATTCATCCATATTATTATTATTATTATTTCTTTGTTGGTCTCTTGTGTTCTGTCCTGCAGGGCTTGGTCTTCAATTCATCCATATTATTATTATTGCTTTGTTGGTTCTATGCTTCTCTATGGGAACATGTCTTCTTTCAATTCATCCATATTATTATTATTATTATTTCTTTGTTGGTCTCTTGTGTTCTGTCCTGCAGGGCTTGGTCCACGCTGTAATTCTATGCTTCTCTAGGAACATGTCTTCTTTCAATTCATCCATATTCTTCTTTCATTATTATTATTTTATTATTATTTCTTTGTTGGTCTCTTTGTGTTCTGTCCTGCAGGGCTTGGTCCACGCTTGTAATTCTATGTTCTCTAAGGAACATGTCTTCTTTCAATTCATCCATATTATTATTATTATTATTTCTTTGTTGGTCTCTTTTGTGTTCTGTCCTGCAGGGCTTGGTCCACGCTGTAATTCTATGTTCTCTAGGGAACATGTTTCTTTCAATTCATCCATATTATTATTATTATTATTTCTTTGTTGGTCTCTTGTGTTCTGTCCTGCAGGGCTTGGTCCACCTGTAATTCTATGCTTCTCTAGGGAACATGTCTTCTTTCAATTCATCCATATTATTATTATTATTTTTCTTTGTTGGTCTCTTGTGTTCTGTCCTGCAGGGCTTGGTCCATGCTGTAATTCTATGCTTCTCTAAGGAACATGTCTTCTTTCAATTCATCCATATTATTATTATTATTATTTTTTGTTGGTCTCTTGTGTTCTGTCCTGCAGGGCTTGGTCCACGCTGTAATTCTATGCTTCTCTAGGGAACATGTCTTCTTTCAATTCATCCATATTTATTATTATTTCTTTTGTTGGTCTCTTGTGTTCTGTCCTGCAGGGCTTTCCTTTGTTGGTCTCTTGTGTTCTTGTGTTCTGTCCTGCAGGGCTTGGTCCACTGTAATTCTATGTAATTCTATGCTTCTCCTGCAGGGCTTGGTCATATGTCTTCTTTCTAATTCTTCTTTCAATTCATCCATATTATTATTATTATTTTTCTTTGTTGGTCTCTTGTGTTCTTGTTAGTCCACGCTGTAATTCTATGCTTCTCTAGGAACATGTCTTCTTTCAATTCATCCATATTATTATTATTATTTCTTTGTTGGTCTCTTGTGTTCTGTCCTGCAGGGCTTGGTCCAAATTCCTTCTCTAGGGTCTTCTTTTCAATTCATGTTGGTCTCTTGTGTTGTATAGGGAACATGTCTTTTCAATTCATCCATATTATTATTATTTTTCTTTGTTGGTCTCTTGTGTTCTTTATCCTGGGAGGGCTTGGTCCACGCTAATTCATGCTTCTCTAGGGAACATGTCTTCTTTCAATTCATCCATATTATTATTATTATTGTTTTTGTTGGTCTCTTGTGTTCTGTCCTGCAGGGCTTGGTCCTGTAATTCTATGCTTCTCTAAGGGAACATGTCTTCTTTCAATTCATCCATATTATTATTATTATTATTTCTTTGTTGGTCTCTTGTGTTCTGTCCTGCAGGGCTTGGTCCACACTGTAATTCCTGCTTCTCTAGGGAACATGTCTTCTTTCAATTCATCCATATTATTATTATTATTTCTTTTTGTTGGTCTTTGTGTTCTGTCCTTTCAATTCATCCAGGAACATGTCTTCTTTCATTATTATTATTATTATTTCTTTGTTGGTCTCTTGTGTTCTGTCCTGCAGGGCTTCTCTAGGTCCACATCCATGTAATTTCTTTGTTGGTCTATCCTGCTTCTCTAGGAACATGTCTTCTTTCAATTCATCCATATTATTATTATTATTTCTTTGTTGGTCTCCTGTGTGTTCTGTCCTGCAGGGCTTGGTCCACGCTGTAATTCTATGCTTCTCTAGGGAACATGTCTTCTTTCAATTCATCCATATTATTATTATTATTTTTCTTTGTTGGTCTCTTGGTGTGTTTCTGTCCTGCAGGGCTTGGTCCACGGTCACGCTGTAATTCTATGCTTCTCTAGGGAACATGTCTTCTTTCAATTCATCCATATTATTATTATTATTATTTCTTTGTTGGTCTCTTGTGTTCTGTCCTGCAGGGCTTGGTCCTGCAGGGGCTTGGTCTGTAATTCTATGCTTCTCTAGGGAACATGTCTTCTTTCAATTCATCCATATTATTATTATTATTATTTCTTTGTGTTCTGTCCTGCAGGGCTTGGTCCACGTGTTTCTATGTTCTCTAGGGAACATGGTTGGTCTTTTGTGTTCTGTCCTGCAGGGCTTGGTCCACGCTTGTAATTCTATGCTTCTCTAGGGAACATGTCTTCTTTCAATTCATCCATATTATTATTATTATTATTTCTTTGTTGGTCTCTTGTGTTCTGTCCTGCAGGGCTTGGTCCACGCTGTAATTCTATGCTTCTCTAGGGAACATGTCTTCTTTCAATTCATCCATATTATTATTATTATTATTTCTTTGTTGGTCTCTTGTGTGTTCTGTCCTGCAGGGCTTGGTCCACGCTGTAATTCTATGCTTCTCTAGGGAACATGTCTTCTTTCAATTCATCCATATTATTATTATTATTTCTTTGTTGGTCTCTTGTGTTTCTGTCCTGCAGGGCTTGGTCCACACTGTAATTCTATATTCTCTAGGGAACATGTCTTCTTTCAATTCATCCATATTATTATTATTATTTCTTTGTTGGTCTCTTGTGTTTCTGTCCTGCAGGGCTTGGTCCACCTTGTAATTCTATGCTTCTCTAGGGAACATGTCTTCTTTCAATTCATCCATCCATATTATTATTATTATTTCTTTGTTGGTCTCTTGTGTTCTGTCCTGCAGGGCTTGGTCCACATGTCTTCTTTTCAATTCTATGTTGGTCTTTGTGTTCTCTAGGAACATGTCTTCTTTCAATTCATCCATATTATTATTATTATTATTTCTTTGTTGGTCTCTTGTGTTCTGTCCTGCAGGATTGGTCATGTAATTCTATGCTTCTTTATGTCTTCTTTTCAATTCATCCATATTATTATTATTATTATTTTGTTTGGTCTCTTGTGTTCTGTCCTGCAGGGCTTGGTCCACGCTGTAATTCTATGCTTCTCTAGGGAACATGTCTTCTTTCAATTCATCCATTATTATTATTATTATTTTGTTGGTCTTTGTTGGTCTCTTGTGTTCTGTCCTGCAGGAACATGTCTTGGTCCCATATTATTATTATTATTTTTCTTTGTTGGTCTTTTGTGTTCTGTCCTGCAGGGCTTGGTCCAATTCTATGCTTCTCTAGGAACATGTCTTCTTTCAATTCATCCATATTATTATTATTATTATTTCTTTGTTGGTCTCTTGTGTTCTGTCCTGCAGGGCTTGGTCCACGCTGTAATTCTATGCTTCTCTAGGGAACATGTCTTCTTTCAATTCATCCATATTATTATTATTATTTCTTTGTTGGTCTCTTGTGTTCTGTCCTGCAGGGCTTGGTCCACGCTGTAATTCTATGCTTCTCTAGGGAACATGTCTTCTTTCAATTCATCCATATTATTATTATTATTATTTTTTGTTGGTCTCTTGTGTTCTGTCCTGCAGGGCTGGTCCACGCTGTAATTCTATGCTTCTCTAGGAACATGTCTTCTTTCAATTCATCCATATTATTATTATTATTATTTCTTTGTTGGTCTCTTGTGTTCTGTCCTGCAGGGCTGGGTCCACACTTGTAATTCTGCTTCTCTGGGAACATGTCTTCTTTCAATTCATCCATATTATTATTATTATTTTTCTTTGTTGGTCTCTTGTGTTTCTGTCCTGCAGGGCTTGGTCCACGCTGTAATTCTATGCTTCTCTAGGGAACATGTCTTCTTTCAATTCATCCATATTATTATTATTATTTTTCTTTGTTGGTCTCTTGTGTTCTGTCCTGCAGGGCTTGGTCCCGCTGTAATTCTATGTTCTCTAGGGAACATGTCTTCTTTCAATTCATCCATATTATTATTATTATTATTTCTTTGTTGGTCTCTTGTGTTTCTGTCCTGCAGGGCTTGGTCCACGCTGTAATTCTATGCTTCTCTAGGGAACATGTCTTCTTTCAATTCATCCATATTATTATTATTATTATTTTTTTGTTGGTCTCTTGTGTTTCTGTCCTGCAGGGCTTGGTCCACGCTGTAATTCTATGCTTCTCTAGGGAACATGTCTTCTTTCAATTCATCCATATTATTATTATTATTTGTTTCTCTTTTTGTTTCTGTCCTCTTGGTCCACGCTGTAATTCTATGTTCTCTAGGGAACATGTCTTCTTTCAATTCATCCATATTATTATTATTATTATTTTTTGTTGGTCTCTTGTGTCTGTCCTGCATTCCACATATAATTCTATGCTTCTCTAGGGAACATGTCTTCTTTCAATTCATCCATATTATTATTATTATTTCTTTTTGGTTGGTTCTCCTGTGGGTTCTGTAATTCTGTCCTGACATGGCTTATTTCTTTGCTTTTGTGTTCTTTCAGGGCTTGGTCATCTCTAGGGAAATATGTTCTTTCAATATCCATATTATTATTATTTCTTTGGGTCTTTGGTTCCCTGCAGACTTGGTCCACGCTAGCAATTCTATGCTTCTCTAGGGAACATGTCTTCTTTCAATTCATCCATATTATTATTATTATTTTTCTTTGTTGGTCTCTTGTGTTCTGTCCTGCAGGGCTTGGTCCATGTAATTCTATGCTTCTCTAGGGAACATGTCTTCTTTCAATTCATCCATATTATTATTATTATTTCTTTGTTGGTCTCTTGTGTTCTGTCCTGCAGGGCTTGGTCCACACTGTAATTCTATGCTTCTCTAGGGAACATGTCTTCTTTCAATTCATCCATATTATTATTATTATTATTTTTTGTTGGTCTCTTGTGTTCTGTCCTGCAGGGCTGGGTCCACGCTGTAATTCTATGCTTCTCTAGGGAACATGTCTTCTTTCAATTCATCCATATTATTATTATTATTTCTTTCTTTGTTGGTCTCTTGTGTTCTGTCCTGCAGGGCTTGGTCACGCTGTAATTCTATGCTTCTCTAGGGAACATGTCTTCTTTCAATTCATCCATATTATTATTATTATTTCTTTTGTTGGTCTCTTGTGTTCTGTCCTGCAGGGCTTGGTCCACGCTGTAATTCTATGCTTCTCTAGGGGAACATGTCTTCTTTTTCAATTCATCCATATTATTATTATTATTATTTCTTTGTTGGTCTCTTGTGTTCTGTCCTGCAGGGCTTGGTCCACGCTGTAATTCTATGCTTCTCTAGGGAATTGCATGTCTTCTTTCAATTCATCCATATTATTATTATTATTATTTCTTTGTTGGTCTCTTGTGTTCTGTCCTGCAGGGCTTGGTCCACGCTGTAATTCTATGCTTCTCTAGGGAACATGTCTTCTTTCAATTCATCCATATTATTATTATTATTATTTCTTTGTTGGTCTCTTGTGTTTCTGTCCTGCAGGGCTTGGTCCACGCCAGTAATTCTATGCTTCTCTAGGGAACATGTCTTCTTTCAATTCATCCATATTATTATTATTATTTCTTTGTTGGTCTCTTGTGTCTGTCCTTTGGTCCACGCTGTAATTCATCCTTCTCTAGGGAACATGTCTTCTTTCAATTCATCCATATTATTTTATTTTATTTGTTGGTCTCTTGTGTTTCTGTCCTGCAGGGCTTGGTCCACGCTGTAATTCTATGCTTCTCTAGGGAACATGTCTTCTTTCAATTCATCCATTATTATTATTATTATTTTTTGTTGGTCTCTTGTGTTCTGTCTCTTGTGTTTCTCTGTCCTTTCAATATTATTATTATTATTATTTCTTTGGGTCTCTTGGTCCCTGCAGGGCTTGGTCCACATTGTAATTTATGTTCTCTAAATTCTATGCTTTTTGTTGGTCTTATGTTTTGTCTCTAGGGGACATGTCTTCTTTCAATTCATCCATATTCATCCATATTATTATTATTATTTCTTTGTTGGTCTCTTGTGTTCTGTCCTGCAGGGCTTGGTCCACGCTGTAATTCTATGCTTCTCTAGGGAACATGTCTTCTTTCAATTCATCCATATTATTATTATTATTATTTCTTTGTTGGTCTCTTGTGTTCTGTCCTGCAGGGCTTGGTCCACGCTGTAATTCTATGCTTCTCTAGGGAACATGTCTTCTTTCAATTCATCCATATTATTATTATTATTTCTTTGTTGGTCTCTTGTGTTTCTGTCCTGCAGGGCTTGGTTCATCCTTGGTCGTCGCTGTAATTCTATATGCTTCTCTAGGGAACATGTCTTCTTTCAATTCATCCATATTATTATTATTATTATTTCTTTGTTGGTCTCTTGTGTTCTGTCCTGCAGGGGAAACATGTCTTGGTCCAATTCATCTGTAATTCTATGCTTCTCTAGGGAACATGTCTTCTTTCAATTCATCCATATTATTATTATTATTTTCTTTGTTGGTCTCTTGTGTTTCTGTCCTGCTTGGTCCATGCTGTAATTCTATGCTTCTCTAGGGAACATGTCTTCTTTCAATTCATCCATATTATTATTATTATTTCTTTGTTGGTCTCTTGTGTTCTGTCCTGCAGGGGCTGGTCCACATCTTGTAATTCATCCATGCTTCTCTAGGAACATGTCTTCTTTCAATTCATCCATATTATTATTATTATTTTTTTGTTGGGTCTCTTGTGTTTCTATCCTGCAGGGCTTGGTCCACGCTGTAATTCTATGCTTCTCTAGGGAACATGTCTTCTTTCAATTCATCCATATTATTATTATTATTATTTCTTTGTTGGTCTCTTGTGTTCTGTCCTGCAGGGCTTGGTCCACGCTGTAATTCTATGCTTCTCTAGGAACATGTCTTCTTTCAATTCATCCATATTATTATTATTATTATTTCTTTGTTGGTCTCTTGTGTTCTATCCTGCAGGGCTTGGTCCACGCTGTAATTCTATGCTTCTCTAGGGAACATGTCTTCTTTCAATTCATCCATATTATTATTATTTCTTTGTTGGTCTCTTGTGTTCTGTCCTGCAGGGCTTGGTCCACGCTGTAATTCTATGCTTCTCTAGGGAACATGTCTTCTTTCAATTCATCCATATTATTATTATTATTATCTCTTTGTTGGTGGCTGTGTTCTTTTCTATAAATTCTTTCAATTCATCCATATTATTATTATTATTTCTTTGTTGGTCTCTTGTGTTCTGTCCTGTTTGGTCTTTCAAATGAAGAATCTGTCTTTCAATTCATCCATTTATTATTATTATTTCTTTATCAGAGAGTTAAAAAAGTTGGGAGGGGCTATTTTTATTTGTTAAATGTAAACTAAATTTAACTAATTTATTAACTTTATAACCTTGAAAAAGCATAAAATACCAGAAATGTATACATTAACAAATTTTCAGAAGTTTATTAAATTTTGTTAAATGTTTAATGTTTCTAGCAGTTACAATTTTGAAATTACTATGCTGACAGTTAAGCACAATTCATATGCACGGTCCTTAGTGTATTCCTCTCCCTCTATTATTATGCTGGATTTCTACATTTACATCCAATCTAGTTTATCATCTTGTCTTTCTCTTCATAAAAGCAGCATTATGTATTTTCCTGACTTTTATATCACTTTGATATAATTGGTCTTGATGTATTTATTCTGACTTACAAAAATAAAAGATTTCATTTCTCTATTATTTTGGTAGGAATGATCTCTACTGTTTTATTCTGCAAAACTAGGTCCATACTACTTGTCCCATAAAAGTCATTACATTTTATATATGAAATGCATATGCTAATATAACGACAATTATGGGACAAAGGTAATATTACTTTCACTATTTACATTCTGACTATTATCCTCATTATTTTTGTTGTTATCAAAATATTTCAGCCATTGTGCCCTCTAGGTAGCCTACAGGGAATACCTAACTGAACCCTTTATTTAATCTACAGGTGTTGACTGTTCTCAGATATCTTGTCTAGTTCTTATTTTTAATGTTGCTCAGTTATTGCTTGCCCATTTCCATTGATTTCATTTCGAAAGTGGATTAAAGCATTGCTTTGAAAATTTAGGGACAGAGCAATTGTGAGTTCAACCCCTGAGTGTACTTGGACTCAGCAAATATAAATTTTTTTGATTGCAGATGTTACGCAAGAGTGTAGAGACAAGAGATTGGCTGAACACAATTGAACCCCGCAATGTGCGTGCTGTAATGAAGCGTGTTGTGGAAGACATCACTGCCATTGATGTGCAGGTTGGCCAATTGTATGAGGAAGGTGTGCGTAAGGAGAGGAGCAGTGATTCCAGCAGACGGACACATAGTTACAGCTTGTCACAGCAACAGAGACGCACACAGTGGAATTTCACACCCAGGTGTGTCAAACTTTTTCTTCCATCTTTTTGATCTTGTAGATTAGATTTAACAGCTTTCTAAAAATAATGATACTACTTTATTACTTCTTATTCACACATTTCAAATTGTTTAGAAAAGATTGTGTAGGCAGGTCACCAGTAAAGAAAAGTTTCCTTTGTAATTTGAAGTGGATATATTATACATCATCGTCATCTCTCCCATGATGGGTGTGGTTATAGGGTTATTGCATAACTGTGTATGTGACCAGTTCTCAACATATCTAGGTTGAAAGCCTGAGACATATTCATTGATGTGTTGATAAGCTACATCTGGCAGCATGGCCTCTGATCAGAAGATTGAAGGTTTTGAGGAGCATGGAACCACCTCTTAATTGCTGTTGTTCCCAGGTACACCCTGACCCTGGGTAGTAGCACCTGTTAGGGCCCCAGCTATGGGCAAATAGTGAAATACCAATCAACAACAAAACATTATGAAAGTATAAAAATACCTATTTATAGTAAAAATACCAGCAATACATTTTTATAGAAAAAATTACCAACAATACATATTTATAGTAAAATTCCTAACAATACATTTTTAAATCGAAATGACTAGCAATACATTTTATCATAGAAATACCAACAGTAGATTTTATAGCAAAATGACCAACAATACATTTTATCTGTAGTTGAAGGCATACAATTGCAATCAAAGTATATTTAGTTGAAGCCATAAAATTGTGTTCAAAATATTTAGATGTCAGCATTAAATAACCCATAGAGGTTGATATGCTGCTAAATGAAATCAGCCACGTCATTCATGTGTAGCATGTCTTGGGCAAGTTGACTTTGCAGAGATCATCCCTCTCCAGATCAAACCATAGCCAATATCCTCTAACTTGAAGGCTCACCTTGAATCCCAAAACATGGCAGCTTTTTGAAAAAGCAAAGTACGTCAATAATGATTTGAAAAATATAAAAACATATATGTGAAAATTTTCTAATAATAGTAAATGTGTTGAAGTATAGTGAGGATTTGTGACAGTGAAGTTTTTTTTTTTTTCCTTACAGTTTTATATAAAAGTATGGATATGCATCATTGAAACAATCAAGTTTTAAACTGACAAATTTAGATGCAGCTGGTTTTGTTCTTTAGTCTGAATGGTGAAAACTAAAATTTTGCTTACTTTTCTTTGTAGTTGAAAATTCACAAGAAATGTTCCTCCATACTCACATTTTCTGTTTGTTTCTTACAGCATTGATAATAGCCTTATCAGCAATATTCAGAAGTTGTTCTCTGAGAAAATTGAAATCTTCAGTGCTGTGGAATTCTCCAAAGTCTCTGTCCTCACTGGCATCATTAAGATAAGTCTGAAGGTAAATAATTTTGTTTTGCCAACCAAGAGGAGAGTATTTCATTTTCTGTATTTGATGACATGTAAAACATTTTTTTCAAAGAATTTTGTATGAGAATGTTTAGAAAGTGCTTTAATCACTAGATCATCTACAGTAAATTTGCATCCAGGTTCTTACAACATTTGCCAATTATTTGCATATCTTCTATTATCACAGTGTTTGATATTTAATAATAAAAGTGAAGTGCATTATTTACATTATTCGGACTATTGTCCTCATCTTTGTCGCCATATTTATTACAACATTTCGGCCGTTGTACACTCCGGCCCTCTTCAGGTGCTTGGAATATCGAACTGAACCCTTTATTTCACTAACTGGGGTAGACTGTTCTAGTTCCACATGCCATGTTTAATGAATGTCAGTTATCAGTTATCTCCTGTTAATTTCCCTCTGAAATTCCTCCACTGTCTTAATCGAGTATTGAACTCACACTCTTTGGGTCCTGTCACTGGATCTAACCAACGCCTTTATCCACTGTGCCATGTGTCCTTGAGTAAGAGGGAAATTGACATTGCTATTATTTTAACTACATTCACTCCTTGGCAATGTTTATCATTTTAAAAAGCAATTGGAATTGTAATAAAACCTAAACAAATGAAAGTGAATTTATATATCTTTTTGTTCTTGAGAATTTACAGCAAAAATATTAAACTATTTATTCGATTGTTTATTTACAAGAATAATTTTATATTTACAACATTTTAAAAACCAATACAATTAAAACTAATGCAATACAATATCTATCATTTACAAATTTATAAAGAAATAAATATGAAAACAACTTTTTATTCATAAACATTTACTAAATTATTAAAATATGTGAACCAACTATAAGGAAATCCTTATAATTTACCATTTTATAAAGTTGAAATCAATTGGCAATAAGCCAAAGTTTTACCAACCATTCCAATAAATAATATAATAAATAAATATTGTAAATAAACAATTTAATAAATAAATAGTGTTTATTATTTTTATTGTCAATTCTCAGGAACAAAGAAAATGTATAAATTCACTTTTATATTTTTAGGCTTTATTAAAATTCTAATTACTTTTTAAAACAATAAACATTGCTGAGGAATGAAAGTAATTAAAATAATAGCAGTGTCAAGGGAAAAACCATCCTTTTTTACACTCTCTTTTTTATGAGCACAAAGTACCAAGTTTGTCAAATGCTTTTTCAAGTAACAAAAGCCATAGTTTTTAAAATCCTTTAAAAAGAAGTTATAAGAACAAAAAAAAAACCAGTAATTAACAGATTGTGAAAAATTTTAAAACAAACAGCTAAAACTATTTATTGAATTAACCAATATTTTACTTTCCAAGAATTGTTTGGATAATTCCTTGTATTTCATATGTTGTTACCACAATGTTTCAGCCAGTCCATTCTCTAGCCTTATTCAGGTGGAAAATCTGTAAAGAAATGGAAAGAACTCTTATTTTGTTAAACTAGACAGTGAGCAGAAAATTCTAGCTTATACTGAGTGGTTTTAGAAATCTGAGCCATTCATAGCCACCCCTTCAATACACTTCAGTTCCCTTCATACTGCTTTTATTTTCAAATTCCATTCAATTTTGCCATTATTATTTATTTATTGATTGATTTCATTATTTATAGAACTGTCATTTTTCTTCTTGAGAAAATTTGTTCGTGTTTTGTTTACTTGCAGACTTTTCTTGAATGTGTTCGCCTGAGGACTTTTGGCCGTTATGGCCTGCAGCAGATTCAAGTGGATACTCACTACCTGCAGCTTTATTTATGGAGATTTGTGTCTGATGAAAAGTAAGTCCTTCGCAAACATTGATTATTATTATTTTAATATATATATATATATATATATATATATATTCATACATGTTTCATTAAATAATATAGACAAGTGTTGTCTGTTTATTTTATGTAAATTCTTTTCATAACGTCTGATAAGCTTGATAACATTTTCATTAAATGAAGAAAGAAAATCACAATATTGATACATATTTTTTAATCCAATCTAAGCTTTCGGCTTACATAAGCTATTATCAAAGATGACAATTACTGTACAATAAATTAAGCAATACACGGACAAGAATGTGATGATAGTCTGTTTCTGTTTACATGGATGATTTCCAAGCAACGATAAACACGTACATATAAGACACTGGAAGTGAAAATCGCACCGCAGCTCATGACGTCACACATGACCACACGAGAGTGAATTTGAAAAGTATTAAGTATGGGAAGCTGTTGGTATAAATTAATGGCTTCTGTTATCAATTACAGACATTTAAGGATATTTATGGAGATTTCATAGTTTATTTTGTTTAGGTTAGGTTCCAACTGTTTTATGTATATAGCTTCAATAAAAATGCTGCCTAAATATATATATATATATATATATATCATTATTTCATATATCTCGTTTTTTATATATATATATATCTTGTGATCTCATATATATATATATTATATATTTGTTATCTCATATATGTATCTCATTATCTATATATATATATATATATATATATGTGTGTGTGAAAAAGTGTATATAAATATAAAAAGCGTGAAACCCAGGGTCACAAACTCACATCTATCCAACCAAATATATATATATATATATCTCATATATATACCTCATTATCTCATATATATATATATATATATATATATATATATATATATATATATATATATATATATAGGTATTGTTCAGTTTTTATTTCATAACTAAAAGTATATTCCAGGTTCTTTAATCCAATGAAGATTTCTGTTTCAAAAGTAACAGGTCTCTTTCTTTTTACATGATGTAGTTTTCAAATAAACCTTGTTTATTCATAGTTTCTTTTTTTTTTTTTTAGAATTTAGTTTAAATTTGTCATCAATAAACTCCTGAAGCATTTTATTTTTCTATTTCCTTTCTTTTTATTTATTTTGCCTCTGTTTTGATCCTATTTGTTTTATTTTAGCTTGGTACAAGTTCTGTTGGATGAAATTGTGTGCAGCACAGCCCATCGATGCCTTGACCCTAGCATGATGGAACCAAGTGTAAGTAAAATATAACCAATTAAAAACTGATTAGGCTTTTGCTTTTTGTTGTTGTTTTTTTAGAATCTATATAATATCAAAACTCTAATCTTGTAAGTATGTATGTGTGTTCTCAAGATACAGATTAAACAATACATAAAACCCCAACAAGTTTTGGAGAATATACCTTGAATACCTACTGAGTGTAATACCAAATTTAATTAAAATTGGGCAAAGGGTTTTGTTTTTATAGAATTTTTAATAGGAAATTATGTATTTGTTTTCACTACACATTCTTAGATCAATCCATGTATATAAACAAATATTTGCATATTATATTCCAATTATTATGTGTGCAAAAAAATAATAAACATTCATAATACATTATAACATTATTAAATAAATCTAAATATGCATAACACAACATATCTTTATACAATTCACATTACATTAGAACTTCATCCTGGGTAAGACGTTAAACTACATCCGCGTCCTGGGTGGCCTCTGATCAGGAGGTTTTGAGAGGCATGGAACTGCCTCTTGGTTGCTGGTGTTCCCAGGTCCGCCCTGGCTCAGGGTTGTAGCGCCTGTTGGGGTCCCGGCTATGGGCAAATAGTTGACTATTGCCAGCAATACTTTTTTGAAAAGGATTGTTGCCAGCAATACAATTTTGAAGGAAATATATTGCCAGAAAAAGATTTTTGACAAAACAAAATATTGCCAGCTATAAGATTTTTTGTCAGCATTGGGTGTCTGGTTGAGGTTGATGTGCCGTAAAACAAAATAAACCAAACCAATCTAAACCAAAGAATACATACTCTATTCATACGAATCTATCCTAAAAATGTTGTTGGCATTAAATAATCCATTGAGGTTGATATGCCGTAAAACAAAATAAACCAAACCAATCTAAACATTAGAACTTCTTTTATAAACAGCTACTTGAAAGGTGAAGAGGCTATATGTCACATGACTTGATGGTAAATAAATAAATAGATGCATGTTGATTTGCTGCCATTATGTATTTTGAAATAAATGTGAAGAAGTAACAAGTATGTATAATAACAAATATACTTATTATTTTGAAAAAGACTGTTTCAAGCTATAACTCCAAATTTTCACTCAATGTGTTAATTATGAAGCCCAGTGGAACCATAAACCTTCTTTCACCATCTTTAGTATTAATTATTAATTTTGTATTCAAAATACAGGGTGCAATGGATAAATTATCATCTAAATTACACAAAAATAAAAATAACACTGACATCTCATTTTAACAGATATATTTACCAAAATTACACAACAATATCTTGAAATATTAAAGAGTTAATTTAGTCAATAAAATTGCCATTGGCTTCAACCACAGCCTCCAGACGACTTCAGAATCTCCTGCAACTCGTCTGGATGGTTTCTTTGTTTGAGTTGGTGAATGATGCCATAATCCTTTCCTTCAGTTCATCTTTGGTGATACAAGGAATTTTGTTGATCTCTCACTCAACTGTGCCCCACACATACTAATCAAGGGGGTTGAAGTCTGAGGAGTTAGGTGACTGTATGTAAGGATTGAAGTGGTTTCAGAAATTGTCTCTTACCTATAACTGAGTTCTCCTGCTTGTGTGGCTTGGTGCAGAGTCCTGTTGCCAGACATAGGGTCTTTCAGCAACCACCCTCTTGACTCAGAGCAGCACTACCTCCTCAAGGTAATTGGTGTAGGCCTCCATGTTGCATTTGAGGCTCTCACCAACAAATTCGGGAGTTCTCTTCATATCAGGACAATTAGAGTGAGTTTTTCAAGCTGCTTTATCTTCATAATTACCATTAACTCTTTCCAAATCCTCTGGACTGTCCTCAGGTTGATATCCAAACACTTAGAAATGTTCATATTGGAGCTTTGGCATGAATGCCAAGCAACACAGCATGCTGTTTCCAAATTTCTGATGGAGTGAATTGCATCATGGTACTCTTTTTCTCACAGACAGTGCCCAACTGACCCTACTATACTGTGCTGTTGGTAAAATTAAAAAACAAACAATGCACATGCACAAAATTAAAAATATAATATAGCGACAATTTACCCATCGCAACTTGTACATTTTATAGCATAAATTTCTCTTAATGTAAAGAAGTAAAACATATATCTATTGATATTGTAAAATAATTTATTTTCATAATTTAAATCAGGATATATTTGCATTAAGCCTTTTTTGTTGTGTTTCATTCATTTTTCAGACTGGAAATTTTTTTACTTATTATTAACTAATAATTAATAAAAAAAAATATACTTATTATTTTTAAAAGACTGTTTTAGGATATTACCTCAAATTTTCACACAATGTGTTAACTATGTAGCTCAGTGGAACAATAAACCTTCTTTTACCATTTTTAAATATAAATTAAAATATGTAATTAATAATAAAATTGATAATAATGCTACCTCAACATTTTGTATCATGAACAAGTTTATGGGTGGGGTAGTGTTTCATTAAAATAATAATATAATTTCCGCAGTTGATATTCCGCCCTGTCGGCTGGGTATCCAGAATACACTGACTGCACCTCTGCAATTGGGCAAGACCCCCTACCCCTCCAAGTGTCCTGGGTATGACGATAAACAGCAAGGCCTCTGATCAGGAGGTTTTGAGGAGTGTGGAACCACCTCTTAATTGGTGTTTTACCCAGGTTCAAACAATTGATATTTTGGCTAAATTTTTAAGAAAATAAAACTTTTTTTTTTCAAAAAGAAGACAGAATTGAAATCAGGAAATGATGTAACAGGGTTACTGGTGTAGATTTTACAAGTAAGTTAATTTGTAATTGGTGGCCAGTTGGAATGAGAATTGTTGTGGCTGTAATTTACCAAGTAGGGTAAATTACAAATGGTTGAGGGAGGAATATAACATGGATATTGATGTATGGATAAGTTGATATTAACAAAAAGCCTAGATAGCCAAGCTAGGTAATTTTGATTTTACTAGAATACCCAAACATATGTTTGTTTTTGGTACTTAAAGTTGGATTCCACTAAATTCATTTTCCATTAAAAGCCCCAAAGGAATTGAGATTTGGATATAAGTTGATGTTTCACAAGATAGATGTTAAGACAAGATATTGACTTTGGTACTTAGACTTTGTGAATTTGGGTATACTACTAAATTAGTGGCAAAGTTTCATCATTTTACAGCTGAAATGGCTATGTAACCTTACGTTTTATGCTTAGAGTTTCTTCTCTTCTACTTCTTGCTTGTGGAACTCTCTTCCAACTTGCTTTCCAGTAAACTTTGATCTTAAAAATTAAAATGCGATGTCAGATTTTATCTTCTGTCTTAATTCTTGTTCTTCCATTGTTCTCTCTCCTTTGTAATGTTTTCTTTTTCACATATTCTCTCACACTCGGTATCTTAGTGACTTTATTGCCTTGCTTCGGATGAAATGATTTTAAAAGAAAGAAAGAAGCCAAATGTTTAGATATCATCCAAGAGGAGATACTTGGAAAAAAATGTCAGCCTAAAGAGAAAACGGAATTATCTTGAGGACATGAGCTGTTGCAGAGAAGAAACAAAATCTAGATGAGATAGATAAAAGCTAAACAAAATTTTCTTTATAGTCAAAATAATGGATCACTGTTTGTTGACCTGGCATTTTTCCCATCTTTAGAATTCTAGAGAAATAGGTGAAAGTCTGAATAGCTCTCAGCAGATGGAAAATTGAATGCTGGGAAAATTGGAACCACTTAATCCTCACTTCCCAGCCTTCAAAAGTCTTGTGGGTGATGGCATATTCTCCAATCTGCAGCCTCTTTCCCACAAATGCAACATTGTAAGCCTGTTGCTACCTACTAGCTATTTCCATGGTAAATGTTCAGATAAGCTCCATTCTTTAGTTCCACTAGTTCAGACCTTTACAACTAGGACAAGCCATACTACTTGAATCACCCTCATTTCCCCTGTGTTCCAAATGTAAGAAGTTCCACTTATACAGTTTGTTCTCCATTAACTGTCACTTTGTGGAACAGACTCCCATGTGGTTGCTTCCATGAACACTTAAATCTTAACCTCTTAAAGTCAAGGCTTATGGCCTCATCTCATTGAAACATCAGTTCTTATACAATCACCAAAGTTAAGCAAGATCAAGCCTGGTCGGTACCTAGATGGGTGACCGCTTGGGAATATCAGCTGCTGTAATCTTGGATGTGCAATTGGTGTAATGAATAACAGCTCAAAAATGGAAATTTTCAGGAGAGCAGAGTTCCAATTCCAGTCAAGTTCCTTATGTTCATTTACACACAAATACCCTTGGGAAAGGTATGAAGCTACCTCTTCTTCCCCCAGCTATGGATTCTTATAATCTAAAAATATTTTCTGGCTTTAAATAACCTGCAAAAGGCTGATCAAGTCCTAAAGAAAGAATGAATCAACAAATCAATCAATTTAAAAGTCAAGGGTCAGTTGTCATCTTTCCTCCTTATTCTTATAATCTTCATTTCTTTTCATCTTCTTCCATTCATATCACAAATCTCATTCAACATTACCATTTTATCGATTGTAACTCTCTACCTTGAGTGGCTCTTGAGTCTTGTATTTTGGTAAAATTTATTATATATATAAAACAACTATTAATTTTAATTATTTGGGGAAATCTACTTAGTGATATAGCCAGTATGAACCCACCCTAAGAATGGTGGTAAGAAGTTTTTCAATCACTTGGTACATGAGAATGTGGAGGAGGCTTTTAAACAGGCTAAATTTGGAGAAGCTTGGAAAATGATAAATTAGGGATTGTTGGTAATAAATCAAATTAACCCTAACATCACATGGAAACACTGGTTCCCATACAATCACTGAAGTTAAGCAACATTGAGCCTGGACAGTACCTAGATGGGTGACCACTTGGGAACACCAGGTGCTGTAAGTTTGGATGTGTGAGTGATGATAATGACTTGGAATTGTTAATCAAAGAGCTGAGTTCCAGTTCCCATTGGATTTGTTATATTCCCTTACACTCAGATACTCTTGGAAAAGCTATGAATCCACTTCTTCTCCCAGCTATGGGTTAATTAGTAAAACTTGTGTCTCTAAAAATAAAAAATCTTACAATCTAAAAATATTTTCTGGCTTTAAATAACCTGCAAAGTGTTGATAAATCATAGAAAATCAATCAATCAAATATTGATTAATTACACAGGCTTTTAGATTTATTTACATTCTCTAGAATATAAATGTACAGAAACTAATGTGTCCACTAAGTGAGAGATCGTTTTGTATATTGATTGTAATATAGAATTAATTCCCCACTTTATACTCATATTGTAATTTCTTGCATTTTTCAAATTCTAATTAGGTATGGAATCCACCATTTCTTACCTAGCTATGGGTTAATTAATAAGACTTATTATCTCAACAAAAAAGATTCTTAAAATGTAAAAATATTTTCTGGCTTTAAATAACCTGCAAAGTGTCGATAAACCATAGAAAATGAAGCAATCATGACCAGACATCTGGTGTAAACATACAAAGGCAGGAAATATAATAATAATAATAATGTGTTTTTCTCTCTTTCAGGTAATTGAATTGATCTGTGAACGAGGCTGATTAGATAAAGTGTGTCTTCGGAGAACCATCCTTTTGGGACCAAATTCCTACCGTTTCTACCTTCCATTGTCCTTCTCCCTTGTATTTGTGTACAGGAACTTTCCCAAAGTATGTAACTTCCTTATAACCCATGGAAATACGGGAAATTATCACAGAAAATGGAAACAAACTAGCAAACGGCAATGTGAAATTAATGCCTTCTTTGCATCGAAGAAATATTTCTATTTAAGAATCTTATTCATTGTTTTTGTCTTGTATCTCCAAATGTTGAATAATAAAACATGATTTGGAAGCTAATTACTTCTTAACCGTGTATTTCAATTTCAGGTAGATGATAAGTCTAAGCTGTTTTCATTAACATTTACTTTTATGTCATTACTAAATATTTATTCTTTAATTAAGTTTGGCACAAGGGTAGATTGATGAAGCATCCAGTATGGTTCAAACACACTAGTAGTGGTCAAGCAAGACTTGACTCCTACAATCTTGATACTTATACTAACAGAAGACCTTGAAATGTATTGGTGCAACTGGACTTTTTAAATCACTCACGTTTTACCTAGTTAGCTGTTATTTCGGCTATGGTTAGGTTTATGGGTAGTTTCAAAATGAAATTAAGCTCAAGTCTCGGGGTCATCCCCCACCAGGCAGTAGATCTCTTTTGGGAGGGGGCTGAGGTCATTACTTGGCACCTGTGGCATCCCCAAAACTGGAAAGTACCAAGGGAGCTTGAGCAAGTCATCTATGGTATTGCTGTTGAACTCACTTTAAACTGATCTTGTGCCACTTTCAGTAGCGACATGAGCACCCTGAAAAATACATATATAATTAGGATTATGGGTGTTTTTACGACTCACAATCATTTTCCTTGATTTCGTCACTGTGGGGGAAATGCTTGATTGTTATCAACCCAACTACAAAAATTGTACATATGGGACCAGGGCCAAATTTAGGTGTTAACAGGCACCTGGATTAAAATGGGGGCGGGGGGGCATTATATATCTTTCCTCTGCCTCTGTTCATAAAAAAATAATATAGTTTTAGATGATGCTTTTTTGGTGTACTAAAATTAAATAAAAATAAACAAATCTTTTCTGTTCTTATATCTTTATTTTTGTTTTTAGTTTTATCAGGAGCCCAAGACTAGAGGACCCTTGTGGGCCCCTGGGCTGCTGCTCATGGTAAATTTGCTTTTTAACACCCAAACGCCCACGTGCTAAATATCTCTTAAAATTTTCCCAAATCGTTCTAATTCTGTGTAAATGTACATGCTGAACTAGAATTAACAATTAAATTATGAAGAAACCTACCATTTTGGAGTTATCGACAAGAAAAAAATCCAACTTCTTGTTGGTCATTCATCCACCATTACTGCCATAATGTTCAGTAATTCACTAATTCAACAAGATGTCTGATTTTTTCTTGTCCATAACTCCAAAACGGTAGGTTTCTTCATAATTTAATTGTTAATTCTAGTTCAGCATGTACATTTACACGGAATTATGATGATTTGGGAAAATTTTAAGGGATATTTAGCATGCGGGTGTTAAAAAGCAAATTTATCCTGCTCATATGTAAATCTGGCACTGTATGGGGTTAGTTAAGACTTCATAAAAAAATTGTGGTATTATTATTGTGTTTGCAGTATGACAGAAATATGTCTTTTTTGGTGAAAGGAATAATATTGTTTCGAATTGGTCAGTGATTGGTTAAAAAGTACAAATACCTATTTTAGGCCTTTTAATATATATTTTTGTAGCTTTACAGAAATAAATATTAGTTCCATCTGAGTTTATTTGGATTCAATTTTTTGTGCTAATATTCTTGAGAAAGTCATGAATCCACATCTTGTACAGAATGACTATCTGTGAAAATTCAAATGCTTTAAAGCATAGTCATTAATATGAAGTTTGGATGATAGGAAAATGAATGGAATGGTGAATTGGTTGATGATTTTGACTAGATGAGTTAAAAGATATAACTAAGTAGACCAGCCCACTTATTACCATTTAAGGCCTTGTATCATTTTTTTTGTATCTTTACAAAAATAAAGTAAAGAAAAAAAGTGACTTGTGATAGTATTTTTAACAGAAAAGTAGACACTGGAATCTGTAAGCTCAATGACATGAATTTATTTATTCTGTGTTAACATTTCTGTTTGTCATAAAAAAAAAGGCACATGGTCTGTACCCTATTTCTTTTGCCTGTACTTTTGTGGGTCCTTATTATTCCAGTTCACCTGACTCTTCCTATTCTAAACCCCAAAATACATGTTACTATTGGTTTTACCATATATATGTGGATAGCCGCAGGAACATCTGCCATTGTTACAGATATTTCCACAAATATTTAGAATAGAGAAATAAAGACAGCTAAAGAGAAGATGGAAGAATGTAAATTAAGTTTTTATTTTTTAAAAAGAGAACATACAAAAAAAGCATAAATATGTGTTACATGTCTTCGCCCCAACACTGAAAAGCAAAGTGTGTGGATGTTACAAAAGTCTTTCTTCACTCACAAAACTATCATGTCATGTTGCAAGTGGCTGTACTCAATAATGGCATTCCAAATTTCCAGGAACCGGTTTTATAAAGGCAGGTCATCTTTAGGAACCTATTCTACTTATTTTCTTTTCCAAATGAGAATGGAAACAAATAACTTTATAGTATATCAAAAAGAATTAAACCATTTTGATAATAGAAAACATTTATTAAGATATTTCCAGATTGAAAGTATGATGCTTTTCAACTCTAGTTTTCATCAGTTGTGTTATAGTGTCTTAGCCATATTCAAACTGAATCACTGCAGTCCCAAAAATCCAATGGAAGATTCTGTACAAGAAGGAGATTCCTGACTTTCCCAAGAATATTAGCACAGAATATTTAGAGGGGACAAAAATAAAAGGAGCCAATGAGTTTACATTCTCAGGTTAATTTAAAAATGGAGACTAAACTAAAAATACAAAAGTCTAAACTATTCCTTTCACCAAAACATCACATTTACACCTTTTCTGTTATACAATATGAATGTACAGATTGTTTAATGGTTACCAAATTGGAAAGAATAATCAGCCACCTAAGCTCAAATTACAGCCGAGTTTGTCATGTTCATTTTCACACAAATATGTTCAGCAAAGGTATGAATCCATCTCACCTCTCTAACTCCATGTATGGGTTAAATAGTAAGGATAACTTGGCTCTTTTGCCTTCTGGTAGCAATCAGTCTAGGAGAAGGAAAATTCTGAATTCAAAATCAGTCTGAAGTGGGATGAACTCTGTCAAATTATCTTGCCCTAGCCACACCATTGTTGCTATGGTTGCAGTATATGTAGTGCTCCTATAACTCTAGTAGGTTATGGGATTTGTAATGTGACATCGTACTACAATATATAAATTTATGTAAAAAAATATAACCTTCTGCTTATTTGCATTACCTAAAGTAAAGATATTTTCAACTAATAAGGTACTTACATGGGACTTTTTTGATAAAGCCTTGTTTCTGAGCCTGATTATGGCGATGTGTCTGCTCATAAAAAAGGAATGTATTGGAAAAAAAAAGGTTTTAGAATCTCAGGATTATTTTTAACTAATTAAAGAAATGGAATTTGAAACTTCCAACAATTTTGAAAGGTGGTTTGATGAGCTTTCTGCATGAATATAAAGAAGACAGTCATCCAGTTTAATCACAGCATGACACACAGATGGGGTCAGAAGATTAATTAATATTTCAGCAATGAGTTGAGAAGAGGATGCTGGACTCTGAGATACCACATGACGAGTAAACAACTCCAAGCAACATAGGAAAAATTAAAACAGGCAATTTTGAACATGTGAAACAAACCCATCAAGTTTTCCTCAATTATACAAGACAACTTACTGCATCTATAAGCAACTTCTTCAAGCTTACCACAAATGACATGAGTTCCACAATATATTCAGCAACAGATGCATCGACTGTACCAACCTTTTAACATCACCTTATGAACTTTGTTGTCACATTACTCTCTCTCTCATTACCAAGGACATTTTAAACTTTAGCAACTAATGTAACTCTCCATTTTATTATGAACATTGTTTTCTACCTAGCTTTTAAGTTTTTAGGTTTTCAAAAGGATATTACAAGCAAGATTCTACACACAATTTGTTTTTCACATAAAATATTATTGCAAATAAAAAATTTCTTTCTGTTTTATTTTGAACTGAGTAAGAGTCAATTTTTTAATGTGCACCTAAAACAATATTGATATTTTTTGCATATGGGAAAATTTCCATAGCAGACACCATTATACTATAATTTCTCGATGACGTCCCAACTAGTCCTATATGTATAATTTTTGTAGATGGGAATGATAAGAACAACATTTTAAAATTTCTCCATCTTTAAAAATAGATGTATATTCAGAATCTTTAGGCAAAGAAGTCATGTTTTGACCAACCAATCAGAAACCATCCTAACCAGGATACAAACACAATAGTCTAGCAAATGAATCAAAAACAAGAGCTGCTCTCAACCAGTATGCATGGTTACTAATCATGTGACAATGAGAAGAAAAGTGGCATTTTTGAAGTGGATCTCTATATATGTATATAAACGATATGGAAAATCAACCTAAATGAGAATCAACAAATTAATTTTATTTATTCTCTGATGCTGCAGTCATTGTAACATACCCAAAGCTGAATTATTACACTTGCCCGACCCACTGGTGAAACTTAGACATCCACTCAGTCTTATGTTGACACTAAAACATATCCATTCTTTCACCCATATTTTTAAGCAGGCAGCTGCTAAACTTGAATACATACATATATGTTTGCATTCACCCAGGCTCTCTCTCATATGCACCAGGACATTTACATTTGAACTCTTGAACCTCCAACTTTCACTCTATCCTTCAGTATATGTATCTTGTGTTATATAAAAAATTACTTTGTTTATGTTAACATTCTGTGCATTTTCTTTTAATCTTTACACAGAGCCATAATAATAGATATATGATG